TGGGCATATTTTAAGGCGAACCAAGCCTCTTGGAGGCCTCTTGGGCCGTCCTGGAAGCTTTTAGGGGGCCTCTTGAGCCGTCTGCCGTTATCGAGGCCATCTTGGGCCGTCTAGGAGGTTTCTTGGGCAAGCTTGGAGGCATCTTGGACGCTCTTGGGCCGTCGTGGTGTCCATCTTGGACTTTCTTGGGCGAACTTGAAGGCCATCTTGGCCGTATTAGAGGCCATTTGGGGCCATCTTGGAGCGAGAAATCGGGTGGCCGGCGCGCTGGGCCGAAACCCCAGGGGGAGTTGTTTTGGAAAAGGAAGCAAAACCAAGCCGTATAGGATTCAGCACGCCAGGCACCCTTGTGGCAAGCCAACAGGGGGCGGCGGACCTAGTAGCCCTCGACCAATTCCGGCACCGTGCCTGGGCCGTGGACAAAAGACCTCGAAGGTGACCCTTGGGGGATTCTTGCGATGCGTCTTCATGGGATGCTTTTGGAGTTCTCATGGGGCCTATTCGCCCTCCCGCTGGCCTCTTGTGGATAACTGGGGGTCTTTTGGGCGCCTCTTCCGGGCCTGCTGGTTGTCTCGAGGTGCATCTTGTGGTGGAGGGCTATGACAGTTCGAGCTCCCTCGGCCCCTGGGGACTATTTGGAGCACCTCTTTTGGGGGCTCGGGAGTTGTCTTCGAGCGATATTTGAGGGCTGTCGGGGCGTCTTGGGTGCTCTGCTCGGCCCCCAGGGCTTCAAAGACGGCCCAGGATAGCCCCAGGTCGGTCCCCGTGGGGCCATTGCGGGGCATGCTGAAGACGCAGATCCCGAGCAACGCTCCCGAGGCCTCTGAAAACGTCTCGCGACGCACCTCGAGGGCGTCCAGTAGCGCCCGGAAGTGCCCAGGAATTCTAAACGCTTCGCGTATCCCCACCAGTGTCGCTCCCGCTCCCTGGCGGTCGCCTTGGAGCCGCTAACCAAAAAAGTATCCCCACCAGCCCGTCCAGAAATGAGTCCCAGGGGAGTGGAGGTGATGAGGGAAGTGGGGGAGCATTCAGAAGAACAAAGGGCGGGGGAGCGCCCAGTAGCGCCTTGAAGCGTCCAGGAATCTCGTGGGTTTGATGTCTGGGGCCTTGACATACATTGACAGTGCTCGACACGCAGAGCTCGGAGGGCCCTGAGGAACTCCACTCTGTGCCTCGGGGCACGGTGGCGGACACCACTTTGTTCTGCGTTGGCCTGCCGGAAGACTCCATGATTGTTGTCAGCTCCTCTTCGCGATGCTCTGCAGAATTGCTCGAGGGGCCGCTGCCGGTGCGGCCCACGGCATGCCCGCGGCGGCGCAGCTCTCCCGTGGCAGGCCCTCGCTCCCGAGCCGCGCATCCAGGCGACGGCTCGCAGCTGCCGCTGCGTTGCCAGAGGGCTTGGCATCGCTCGGACGTGTGCGTTTTTTCCTCGGCGAGGACCATCGAGGAGCATCCTTGACCATTTAGCGAAAAAACCACGCACGAAACCGAAAAAAACACAGGAAATGGACGTCCAAGCGATGGCGAGAGGTGTGTGAGCGGTCTGCGCCCTGGCCGCCCCCCCCCGCCCTGGAGGCGGTCCCTCTCGGCGCTGGACGAGGAGCTTCGCGGCAGCTGGCGGACCAGCCTCCAGAATTTGGCCTCGATCCTGGGGGACCTGCGGGAGGAGCTGGAGGCGGGGTGACATCCACTGTTCGGGGCACGCGGGCCATTCACAGGCATCAGTTTCAGGCCCAGGATCGGTGGATACGCGCCCCTGGCCACGCCAACAAGGTGTAGAATTGAAGACGCACTCCGATCCAATGCCCAAGATTGGTTGAGGCATTCCCCGAGTATTGCCTCTTGCCCTGCATCTTCCTCGCCAACTTCATCGTCATGTTCTCCACTCTCACCTTTTTGCCGCGTGCTCCCTTTCTTGTTGCTCTCCCCCTTCCTCCGTGACCGCTTCAACACGCAGGGTCTCCATCCCCAGTTCTGGAGGTCTCCTGGAGCCCTCGAGGGGCCAGAGATATTCGACGAGAACCAAAGCGTGCGGGCATTGCTCGTCGCGGTGACCTCAAGTTGTAGTGCGCAATAAAAGCCCTTGGTGTCCTTCCAAGGGCCCTTGGGTGGCCCATGCCCCCGCAAGCCTCCAGAAGCCCAGTACGTTCAGGGTCTTGCTCGTTTTCGATCCTCGATACTCGACGACGACGGCGGCGATGACGATGACGACGACTTCGCGAAAGACGACGCGCGGGCCCCAGGGGGAGCTGGCACCGGGGCCTGGAGCTCTGCTGCGATCCCTCCCAGGGATGCCGTAGCGTGGGCCCGTGAAAATGATGCCAGGAGGCGACACGAGGGGGGATTTGGGGGGCGCGACGGGAGGAGGGGGAGGGGGGGGGGGGGATCGAGGACGAGGGGTGGGGGTGGGGGCGGGACGAGGGGGGAAGGAAGGACACCGAGGCTCGACGACGAGGGCGAGGGCGCGGGGGTTGCGGAGGAGGGGGCGGGAGCCGCTGCGCCCCCCTTCCGCCCCGTCCTCCGCCAGGCCCCTCCCCGCCCCCCAGCAGGAGGAGGGAGCACGCGCCGGCGGCGGGGCCGAGGCCACCCCTCGGGCGCCGCTTCCCCCCCCCCCCCCAACGCCCGACCCGCCCCCCCCCCCCTTCCCCCCCCCACGCAACGCCCGACCCCCCCCCCCCTTCCGAGGCGGCGTCGAGCTCCCCCCAGCGCAGCTCCTCGGCCGCCTCCAGGGAGGTGCTCGGCGCAGGCCGCGCGGCGGGCGGGCCGCGGCGGGCCAGCGCCCCCCGCGGCTAGCTGCTGGTGGTGCTGCTGCTGCTTTTGCTGCTGCGGTTCCCTCTCCCTCCCCTTCCTCCCTCCCCACATATCTCTCTCCCTTTTTTTTTTCTCTCTCTCTCTCTCTGTCTCTCTCTCTCTCTCTCGCTCTTGTTATCTGTTTCTCTCTCCCTTTCTCTGTTTGTATGCTTGCATATAAAGATCTACCAGGTTTTTTCCCCAAACAGTGCTTGAACTTAGGGGCTCTTACTTAAGTTATAAGGAACTGGGCCTGATTGCTGGTCTGGCGGCTATGTTGTCACCGACGCCGCCTCGTCGCCGCCTGTCGCCGCCTCGTTGCGGCCTTGCTCTATTTTGTAATACTTGCATTGCTTCGCATTCCTTTGCATGAATTCGTTGTGTGCTGCTTGCTTAATGGTTTACAATGGTTTGCATAGTTTGACAGTGTTATGCATTGATTTGCATTGCTTTGCATTGCAATGGCTTTGCATTGTGCTGTTTTGTGTTACGTTGCACTGCTTTGCATTGTTATGTGGTTGCTCGTTTTATGTTGCACGTCTTGTTACTTGCTCTGCATTGCTCATGCGTTGCTGCGCAGTGCTTGGCGTAGCTTTGCATTGCTGTCCTTAACTTCGCATCGCTTCCCATTGCATTGTTTCGTGTTGCTTTATATTGTGTTGCATTGTTTCGTATTGTTTTGCATTGCTTCGCATTGTCATGCATCGCTTTGCATTCGTGCATTGCATTGCATTGCAGTGCGTAGCGTTGCGCTGCATTGCTTTGCGTAGCCTTGCGCTGCGTTGCATTAACTTGCATTCCTGTACATGGCTGTGCAGTGCGTTGCTATGCGTTGCGCTGCCTTGCTTTGCCTTGCATTGCTTCGCTTGGCGTTTCTTTGCAGTGTCTTGCATTGGTCTGCATTGCGTTGCTTTGAGTTTTTTCTTTGCATGGCATTGCACTTATTTGCTTTGCATTGCTTCGCATGGTTTTACGTCGCTTTGGATTGGTTTGCGTTGCGTAGTTCTGGTTTGTGTCTTGCCTTCCTCAGGTTCCTCGTTATTCCTGCCTTCCTCGGGCTCTCGTTTATCGGTTCCTTGATGTCTACCTCGAGTCGTCGAAGCATCACGCACACTGCCCCACATAGATTGCACTACATAAGTTACACAACACATGTAGCTATAAACACACCTTTTGGGACCAACGCTGGCTAACAACATTACGTACATGTGTATAAGTCTTTTTGTTTGCTCTCTCTCTCTCTGTATATATATATATATATATATCTATTTATACAGACACACTCCATGTCTCAACCCGCTTATATGCACATAAACAGCTAAGACGCTGAAACACTGACCGCGTTGGGTTCTGAAGGGGATCGTGCTTCTTAGGCCACTCCGTGGTTGTTCACCTAGCCTTCCTCGTGCAGCGAGGCTCTTTTGGTATCAAAAAGGGGCGTCGTTCCTTATTTCGCGGTCCTTATTGCAGCAGTTTTATCGTGAATGTATGTATGTATGCAGGCATGCATGCATGCATGCATGCATGTATGTATGTATGTATGCATGCATGTATGTATATGATATGCATTCACACTTCTGTCTCCGTCTTCCTTTCCCTCTCTTCCTCTTTCCTCCTCCACATCGTCCTCCTCCTCCGCATCGTCTTTCCTCCCCTCTCCTTCCACAGAGGCCACCGGAAGCCTCCAGAGGCCTCTGGATCTTCGAAATTATTGAAATGTTCTCCTCCTTCGAGCATTACGCGGGCCACGACGACGACGACCTCCCTCTTCTTCGCCTCCCGCGGCCGCCACGCACTGCTCCAGCGCCCTCGTCGTCCTGGTTCTCGTCGTCGTTCTGCGGCGATCGCCAATTCATGGAATTCTTGACGCTTCGCGCATCCCCACCAGCCCATCCAGAAACGATGCCCATGAGAGGTGACGGTGGGGAGAGAGGAAGTAGTCAAACAGCGAGGAAGGCTTGGGAGGCTCTGTGGCCATCTCGAGCCGTCTTGGAGCGGTCTTGGGGCCGCTTGGAGCATCTTGGGAGCCATCTTGAGCCAGCTTGGGATATCTGAGCCATCTTGGTGGTCATCTTGGGCTCTCTGAGGCCGCTCGGGTGCCTCTTGGGTGCCTCTCGGGTGCCTCTTGGAGCCCTCTTGGGGCCTCTTGGGGCGCTGTTGGAGCCCTCTTGGGAGCCTCTTGGGAGCCCTGGAGGGCCTCTTCGGGCCATCTTGGAGGCGGTCGGTCAAAAGAGGGGGGGTATTCGATTTAGGTCTCCCCCTCGGGGGCCACGATCCTCGTGAGGGGTGTCAAGAAATGGCCCTCCCACGAGCCGAAAAAGGAGCCTCCGACGCCTCGCGATCCCTCCCAAAAAACCTCAGGGAGGGGAGGGGGAGAGTTCCCCTCTCCGAAGGTAAGAAGGGGTTGTGGAAGAGGACAGAGACCCTCGTTGGACCACATGTCGCCCAAAGGGCTGGTGGGATTACACGCCGGTCGTTGAAAGTAGGTATTTTTGGATTCCCAGATCCCAATCTACTTCAAGCGTCTTCCTTCTTGGAGAATCAATATGCTTTGCCGTGTCTCGTTATTCTCTGGGAGGGCCTGATCCCAATCTACTTTGTCCGCCTTTCTACTTCATGTTTGTACCTACATCTTCGGACCGACGCGTATTGGTTGTCATTCCCCAAGCAGTGCTTGCACTTAGGGCACCGCGTGTCCTGCATCTCTTCCTGGAGTTCGATTCGCTCTCAATGGACAAGGGAGAGTGCTTCTAAGGCTGTAGGCGAGGGGTCGTGGCTACGCCACACGCGATTAGGCAGCCGATGCTCCGAAGTCGGAGCCATAAGGCGTACACGAACGAACCGCAGGATCACGCTTGGCTCTTTGACGCTTTACGGGCGTGGAGTATGTGTACATTTGTTGGGGCACAGCAGTCGCCAAATGAGCTCCGAGTTTGCGTTCGGGCGTACATGTATCCCACGTCATGGATTAAATTGGTGCCCATGGCTTCAGAGCCGCGCCAGCGGAGCCTGGTCGTGGAGTCCGGCCCCAGCACGACACGTTCTGTGATGGTCGGTTGCGAGGTGATCCTCGATGGTTCAGGCAGTGGCCATTTGCTTGAGCAGAGCGGCGTCTTGCGAGAGAAGAGAGTGGTTTCATGATGAGGCATTCAGCTTGGTTTTCAATCGCGCCCAGTTCATGAGAAAATATTTGTCCGAGCGGCCCTCCTGGTCATCCTTGGCCTCCTCATACCCGTCCCTCTCCTGCTACAGCTGTTTGTTCTTCCTTCCTCTTGTCCTCTGCATGTGCACCTGCTCCTTCTGAATCACCCCCTCCTCTTTCTTCTAGTCCTCCTCTTCTTCCATGCCCTCACCTTTGCTCTCCCTCATTGCTCTCTTGCTTCTGGTGCTCCTCCTTCTCGTCATGTTGCTCTTTCGCACTGCTTTTTTCTCACGCTCCTCCAGCCTCCAGCCCCATTCCCCCTGCTCCTCCTTATCCTGTTACTACCGCTTCTTCTCCTCCGCCCCCTCCTGTCCCTTGCTCCTCGTCTTCTTAATCCTTCCCCCTCCTTCCCCCTCCCCCGCGGATCAGAGGCTTGGCCTCCGCGCCGTTGTGGACGAAAGTCGACTTTGCGGTCAAGCAGGCGGCGCAGGCAGGCTGTGCCAAACCCCCGACTCACAGGTTGGAAGGAGGATGCGCTGCGGGGTAGTGACGCCACACGCGTGCGCATGGCTGTTCGAGGATCGAGGACCAGGGCCTTGTGAGTTTCCGCCCCTTTGGGGCCCAATAGGGAGAGGTGCCGTCGACATGGCTGGACTCCCCCCGAAGTCCTCCTCAAAGCGTTCGCCAGGACAGGTACAGCGGCGGACTCTGCGAGGCTCAGCACGCGTTCCGTTCGCATGTGCGTGCAGCAGGTGTACACGCTGCGTTCCGCAACGACGCGCGGCATGACGTGCAATTGTGTATCGCATGCCAGGTCATGACGTGGTGCGCCAAGGCTGCGGTACCTTCGCGTACGCGAGAAGGTTCGGGCGCCAGGCCACCTTGGGCTGACCAGAGAGGTGAATGTGGTGTGAATAGGTGAATTTCGCGCGCAGCGCATCCAGCTCGAGCAGAGCCGAGCATCTAAACGGACCCGTGGGCAACCAGAAGTGCACATGTGGCAGCCAGACTTCGCAGCGCAGCGCATCGTCGAATATGATCCTCGTCCTCGCCGGCACCCTCCTCGTCCCGCCTCCCTCCCGGCACTGCGGCACGCCTCGCACCAGGTGGAGGCGGACCGGCTCAGGCTGGCGGCGGCCACGTCGGACCCGGAGGCGCTGCAGGACCGGCCCCTTCAGACGCTCGGCGGGGGCTGCGGGCGGGCTGCCGGTGCGTCCTCGGCGTCATCCTCGTCGCCGCCGTCGTCGGCGTCTTGGTCGCCTTTGCCCTCGTGGTTCTCCCCCTTCCCTGGTCCTTTGTCGTCGGCCCTTCTTTCTCTCCTCCAGCTCCCTGTCTTCCTCTCCTCCGCCTGCCATCTCATTCCCTCCCTCCTCCTTCTTTCATCATCCCCCCCCCCACTCCCTCTTCCATCCCTCCCTCCTCCCTCCGCCACCCCTCCCTCCTCCCTCCCCCTGACAACCCTCAGTGCTCCTTCCTCCCTCCTCCTCGTCCTCCTCGGCACTCCTTCCTCCTGCCTTCCTCCTCCCTGCTCCCTCCTCCTCCCTCCTTGCCGCCTCCCCGCCGCGCCGCACCCCCCGCCCCGCCACCCCTCCTCCTCCCCGCGGCCTGCCCGCCCAGTGCCTTGTTGCCCCCCGCCGCCCGAGCGCGGCAAGCTCGTGGGAAGGGGTTCGCGGGGGGTCGGGTGGGGTGGGTGGGGGGTGCCGGGGGCGGTCGTCATTACTCTTATGTCGGGCGTGTCCCCCTACAGGGGGGTTTTCGACGAAAAATATAAAATGCCCCAAACATACCGCAAAAAGGTCAAAAAATGTTTAAAAAATAGTCCCCAGACTATTTTTGGACTATCTTTTGATTATTCCCTACCTAGGCTCTGCCTAGAAGGGTCCTTACTCTCTTGGCTTAATAGGCCGGGCAGTGGGAACCGGCCCGGGCGATTCCCCCAGTATCCGCCCCGCGGTTCCCCCAGTTACGTCCCCTTAGCTTAGCGTTGCTTATCTCATCTTAGTTCAGCTTATTTAATCTTAGCTTAGCTTAGCTTCATCTTAGCTCAGGTTTATCTTAGCTCAGCTTACCTTAATCTTAGCTTCGCTGAGCTTTAACATAGCATAACACAGCATAGCGTAGCATAGCATAGCGCAGCATAGCATATCACAGCATAGCCCAGCATAGCATAGCATTTCGCAGCATAGCATAACATAGCATAGCTTAGCATAGCGCAGCACAGCACAGCACAGCATAGCACAGCGCAGCATAGCATAGCATAGCATAATTAGCTTTAGCTTTACTCTTACTACTAATGCCGGTTTTCTAGGTGCTCCAACTCCTAGGTAGGTCGCACTGGGATATTTTTGTAGGTATTTTTCATTTTTCGTCGAAAGTCCCCCTGTAGGGGGACATGCCCGACTTAACACTACTCACCAAATCACCCCAGCCCCACCCGAAGGTCTCAGGTCCTCCCAAAGTTCGGGTTGGGGGGTGTACGGGTTTCATCGTGTTCCCTCGCTGTTTTGGAGTGCCCCCCCCCACCGGAAATTGGCGATCCCAACGGTGACTTCGGGCTGGGTTGGGGTGGTTTGGTAAGTAGTCGGGCGGGGCGGGGAGCCGGGGGGCCATAGATCAGAGAGGGAACACCTAGATAACACACACACATTTTCGTTCGGAATGGTGGCGGGGGCGTGGTGGGGGGGCCACAGGAGTGAATCCAATAGGGTGCAACAACGGTGCTGCAGCACAACCTCCCGCCCCAAGCCCCCTGCTGCTCATTTTCTTTTTCTTCCCAGCGAAGAGGAGGACGGAGGCGGAGGAAAGGAGGACGAGGACGATAACCATGTGGCCTGCAGATGCAGACCAGAAAGAGATAGCTCCAGGGGGGGAGGAGGGGCGGGTCGTGGGCCACAGACCGACGACGAAACAAATGCATGAACATGGATGTTCTACGGTCCGCAGGGATTTCTTGGATCGGTGCCGGAGCTCCCTGGCGGCGCCTCCAGGGCCTCCCCTGGCGTGCTCCGCTCGCCAGGGAGTCCAGCGCCGATCCAAGAAGTCCGCGTGGACCACCAAGAGATTGTGTTATTCAGTTTTGTTGTGTCCCCTACGTAGGAGGAGGGAGGGGGCGGGGCGGGGCCACAAAGGGAACCCAGGGTGCATCAGTGATGCTGCAGCACAGCCTCCCGCCCCAAGCTCCCACCTCAGAGGTCCCTGCCGGACTGCGGGAGGCGCTCCTCCTTGAAGGACGAGGGCCCCGTGGGCCCGTGTTGACAAGGAATTGCCTAAGTCCCTCCCTCCACCCCTCGCCGCCCCTCCGCCTCAGGACATGATGACCCATTGGATGGCGCGGGGGCCGGTGGTCCGCGTCGTGCCGTGCTTGGCGGACGCGCCCGAGGGGAAGTCGCTCAGGAGTGCGCTTGCCGTGGGCCCCCCCCTCCTCCTCCTCCTCCTCCTCCTCCTCCTCCTCCTCCTCCTCCTTTCAATTGAATAAAGCAGTAGTAGGACGGAGACAGTACAAAACAACACATCGCGAGGAGGAAAGGAGAACGAGCAGCGAGGGAGGAGAGAAGGGGCAAGGGGGAGGAAGAAGGATGGAGCACACGAAAGATTAGCACGAAGGGGGCTTGGAGCATAAAGCAATAAGGCAAATGTGACGGTTGCCTATAGCAGGATACAGTCAAGACCGAAATAATAGAAACAGCAAGCACTGAAACCATGCGCAGGGGGCAGGATGGGAAGACCTATCAGGGTCCCCAAACAGGGGTGGCGGTCGTGTCATCTCGCTTCGTGGGCCATGGGCACACTGCCCATGCGGAACTCGATGAAGGGATCGGCAGGCACGAAGAAAGGCACGGCCCATTCATCCGTCATCAGTTCGTCCCACTCACCACGCACGGACGGAAAAGAGCGATGGACGTTAGAAAGCCACGAAGCAGCGAGGAAGCGACAGAGTTGGCTGGGGTAAGCTTTGTTCATCGCTCGTGATACCCCAACGAGACATGAGGCGTTCCTGAAAGGCCTTCGCCTTCCAGGATCGAAGAAGTCGACATCTCTGCCGCGGTAGAAGGCGGCGGAAGGCGGCGGAAGTGAAACGAGGACGCCTCCTCCGCTGGCGAAAGCCGACGATAGGCCAGCCGAAGCCAGCGAACGTAAACGTCGGTTTCCCGATAAACCGTAAGGTTGTTGGGTCCAGGCTCTCCGGAGTCCGCCGTATGTGAGCATGTCCACAAAGGCGTCGTCCCCCTTTGGGCCGACTTTCGGCGAGCCCCCTCCAGAGCAGAGCACTGCACAGTGAGAAGCTGGATAGGCTTGAGGGTTGCGGTTCGAGACTGGCACTGGTCAATTCCAATGGCACCGCTTCTCTCGGCCGCCATGAGACGGCCCTTTGCTGGGAGGTGTCAGTTTGAAGGCGCGTCGTGAATATCGGATGGGAGGACGGGATGCTCCATGATGCAAGGGACCTTCGTTGACCAAGCGAAGTGCATGAAACGGACACTGGTGCGAAGTACATCGTTGCCATGTGCCTGTCGCGCCCACTTCCCGGTGAGAAAGGGGGGCCCACGCGAGGACATGGCTTTGCCGCATAATGTGCATCCAATGAATCCAATGAAGGTTGGTGGTCTCATTGGTGAGTTCCCCTCTCTGGGGACTGCGTGTGACGTCAAGGCTGGGAAAGTGAACCCTCGTGGGGTATCTCACCATGACATGCTCAGAATGATTTGGAAATCCAGGGCAGACGGTGGGAAGATCCACACTCGGCTCCGAGGGGTTTGGGGGGGGTCAAGCTCCCGCGGAAGGGGGTGAAATACCAGCGCCTGCATGTTGGACGGCGTATTTATCTTGCGCGCCCTTACGCCGATTATCCAGTTACCTGCGGCAAGTCCCGCCAGCGTGCCAGCCTAGTTATCTGGGTAGCCACTGTTCGAGGGAGCACGGGAGGCCGTCACGTGTGACAATTCGTGTCTCCAGGTTTGAGAAAGCCGTGATGAGGATAATGAGGATGATGGGGGTGATGGTGATGGTGATGATGATGAGGAGGGGGATGATGGTGATGCTGCTGCTGCTGCTGATGATGATGATGATGTTGATGATGCTGATGATGGTGATTGTGATGGCGATTAGAACGATGGCGATTCTGAACACTGTCATTCTGATGTCGATACGATGATGATGCTGCTAGTGGTTATGATGATGCAGGTGATGATGATACTGATGCTGGTAACGGTGTTGTTTCTTATGTTGGTGCTGATGTTGATGCAGATGTTGATGCTCTTGATGCTGGTGCTGCTGATGACGACGACGATGCCAACGACGACGACGTTGATCATGATGGTGATGATTGTGATGATGACGCTGCTGATGATGGTGACGATGATGATGATGGTGACAAGGATGATGACGATGGTGGTGATTATACTGATGATGGTAACTATGATGCGGGTGATGCTGACGCTGAATGCTGGTGCTGATGGTATTGTTATTGGTGGTGGTTATACTGATGATGTGTAGCTGTGACCCTGACGGCGCTGACGTGATCGTGGTGATGGTGCTGATGATGATGATGATATTGCTGATGATGATGGTGATGACGATGATGACGATGCTGATGTGGATGATGATGTTGCTGATGATGATGCTGCTGCTGATGCTGACGATGCTAATTTAGTTGTCGATGATGATGACGATGGCGATGATGATGATCATTATGATGATGATGCTGATGATGATGGTGATGGTGCTGGTTAATATGATGAAGATGATTATGCTGCTGATTATGATGACGATGATGATTACGATGACAATGATGATGCTGCTGATGATGATGATGGTGATGATGCTAATGATGATGATGATGATGATGATGATGATGATGATGATGATGATGATGATGATGCTGATGCTGATGTTGATGCTGATGCTGATGCTGATGACGATAATGGTGGTGGTGATGATGATGGTGATGATGCTGCTGCTGCTGATGATGATGATGATGATGATGATGATGAGCTCGTTAGGGCTGTCTTCGGGGCAGGCTGGGTTTCCTGTGAGACAGTCTTGGAGGTTCCTTTGGGGCCTCTTGGGCCGTCTTGGGGCCTTCTTATGCAGGCTTGGGGCTCTCTTGGGCCGACTTGGGGCCCTCTTGGCCGTATGGTTCGTGTTTGGGGGCCGTCGTGGGGCTGTCCAGGCGCCGTTTTGGGCCGTCGAAGGGCCTTCTACGACAGTTTGGGATTCCTCGGGAGCTCCTTTTGGGCAGTCTTGGGGCCGTTTTTGACGCCTCTTGGGCCATCGTGGGGTCCTCTTGGGCCGTCTTGAGTTTAATGCAACCCGAAGGGTGATAATGCGAAAACCAATCAAGAACCCTAGGAGTACCACTGATTCTGCGTCTTCGGACCCTGTTGGAGGTCCTCTGGTGGCCACTGTGGGCCCTTGGAAGCATCCTGGAGGCATCTTGGGCCGTCTTGAATCAACATTCGGCCGCCTTGTGACCATCTTGGACCGTCTTCGAGGCACCTTGGGCCATCTGGGCGTCCTCTGTTGCCTGCACGGGCCGTCTTGGAAACTCGGGACGCATGTTTGTGAGGACCACGTGAATTATCTGAAACACCTCGGGCTGTCGTGAGCAGTTTTTGAGATGGCAGTCGCTGATGCTGTCCTGGCTCGAAGCTTCAGCGCGCCGAGGGCCCTGGCCATCTGGCATGGTGGCGGCCCTCTGCGCGGCCTTGGCGGCGTCGGGCCCTGGAGTGCTGCTGGAGCTGGCGCGCAGGGCCGTGGCCGAGGCGGCGCGGGTGGCGTTCGCTCGGTCGCTGTCGTGCCCTCAGTGCCCCGCCTCTACCACCCAGCGCCGCCGTGCCCGGCGCGCATGTGCGCCGAGCCCCCGCCGTCCAAGGTGCTGGCGGGAGTCGCGGGATCAGCGGGGGAGCGCCTCTGCAGTGTCTGCATTGGCTGGCTGCTCTGGGCCGTGGCCTTCATCGCTGGACGCTGGAGCGTGTCGACGTAGGCGCCGCGGCCTGCGGCCGCCGGGTAGCATGTCGACCCGCGACGGGAGACGGCCGGAAACCCGCCTGCTGGAGCGGTTTGGCGGCGACGAGTGGATCCACGGATGGTTGCTGCTCTGGCCCGCCCACGAGGACCGCCGACACGAGTGCTGGGTGATCGACACCGCCGACGGTGATCCTTACGTCGAACGGCGCGCGGACTGGGTTTGGCATTCCACGCTGCTCCGAGGCTGGCCCGAGGGTTTCAGCGGCAAACTTGTACGCTTCCGCGACGAGATCGACCGCGGGACCCTGCGACAACTGATGCTGGATGGCAGGGGGCTGGCTTTTGAGGAGCGGCGGCGTCGACGCCTCCCAGCCACGCTGGGGGCCCAAGTCGGCGAGGATCCCGGCGGCATGGTGGACCGGCGCGGCGACGAGTGCGGCCTGGAGTTCGGGGTGCTGGAGGCTGCTCGGCGCCGCCCGAGGTGCAACCGGCCTTTGGCCGTGGCCCCCCGCCTCCCCAAGTTCGTCGGGGACGAGGCCGCCAGCCGCCCGGCGCTAGGCCAGCCGCCGCTGTCCGACACGGAGTCGGTGCTGCTGGTGGCGGAAGTGCTGGCGGGCGGCGGCTACTGGCTGGGCGACGAGGTGGCGCCTGGCCCCCGCGATGTCTTGGTGGGCTCGAGAGTGATCGCGCGGCGGGCAGACGATCGCCCCGCCCTTTGCGAGTGCGTGTCATCCAGCGAAATGGAGGAGTGGCGGTCTCTGGCCTTTGACAGCGCTGGGCGCATGGGCGCCCCCTGCCGCCCCCAGCTGCTGGGCTGCTGGCTGAGGGGCCCCGGCCCCGCCCTGCCGCCCTCCGCGAGGCGCTTGCCGATCGGCCGCGCGAGGAGGTGGCGGGCACGCGGGCGCGCCCACGCCTCGCGGCGAGGAAGCTGGCCCTCCAGCCGACGACGCGCTCGTAGTCACCGCTGAGTGGAACGAGCAAGGCGTTTGCTTCAAGGAGTGGCGTCGCGCCGTGGGCGAGAGCAGCGCGGGTGCTTTGGGCGGCTGCGAGCTGCGCCGTGCCGGCACGGCCATGCACCTCTGCCCGCGCTGCACGCAGCGCGGCGGAGATCCCAAGGTCGACGTGGATGAGCAACCTCAGCTGGCATTGCGGAGTGAGCTGGCGAGGTCGGACGTGGCGCGATCGATTGTTTGGTGACGACCTTCTGGCTGGTCGGAACCTTCAACGCCCTGAACCTGGGCAGCCCGGCCTGCGTGAAGGTGGCGGCGCGTCGAGCGGGCCAGATCCACGAGGCCGTGGCGCCCGGGCAGCCGGCCTGGTGGGAGGCTGGCAGTTCCCTGACGGGGCGAGCGACCCGTTCGAAGTGTGTCGACCGAGCTGCGCAGCTTCGCAAAATTGGCTGTCCGCGGCGCAGCCGAGCGCCGTCTGGGCCCGGGCTGCAGCCGGGCGATGGCGCGGGGCGGTCGCGGCGCTGGCGGCGTCGACGACGCGGCGGGCGCGCTGAAGGCTGGCGGCTCGCCCCGCGCCGGGGCAGAGGATGGCGGCAAAGGACGCGGCGGCGGTCGCGGCCGCGGGCGGAAGACCGTGCCCGGCGAGTCGGCGGCCGCCGCTCCGCCAAAGTGACGGGCGGAGGGCCGGTGTTGAGGCCGCCCCCTGGCCTTGAGGCAGGGGCCATGCGTGGCGGCCAGGTGTTCCTGGTCCCCGAAATGCGCGAGCTGGACACCGACGTCGCGCTCCTTTGGTTCTGGCGATCAGCAGCGGGTCAGTCGGCTTGCGAACGGGGGCGTCTCCAGCCTGACTCGTCACTCTTTCCACATCCGGAGGATCACACAACGACCAGGATCATATCCGTTCGTTTTATTGAATGAAGCCGCGGCGCCCGTCACGCGTCCCAAACGCTGTTAGAGTTGAGCCCTCACCCCAGCGGTTGCTCCTGGTCTCTGAGAGGAGTGGGCGAAGACCAAGAATCAATTCTTATGAGAACGCCAGGGCATCTTCCAGACGGGGTGATGGGGACTCGCGAAACGTGACGAATATGGAAGATAGGTTCGGCCGCGAGGAACCCAAACATTTGGAAGAGCCCGAATAAATTCGGAATCCGCGGCGGAGTGCAGGGCAGCGCAGATCGCGCATATCTCGCGACATTTGTCGCGCATGGGGCGTTCATGCAGATTGTGGCCTCGCATGGAGAAAGGGATGGGCACGCGCCGGATAATCCGGTTAGGGGCCGGGTATCACTCGATCGCTTTGCCTTCAATCGAGAACAACTTGTGTGCCTGCTGCACTCGTGGCCCCCCCCAATCCCCTTTGAACCAGGACCCCTGCCTCCGGAAATGCCCCCCCCCTCCTCTCCAGAACCGGGAGCCCCTCCCCCATGCTCCCGCTCCCCATCGATAGCCTCTTTTCCGAGCCCCCCACCCCCTTCCCGAACGTCGCGGGTAAGGTGCATGGAGGAGACGCCCGCGAGGTACTCCGTGCGTGCCAGGGCACGCCGTTTTCACTCTTACTCACAAACAGTGCAAGATTATCGCGGGATGCCCGCGCATGGTCCAAGACTGTTTTTGCCACAACGTGCGATTTGCATTCGCTTCAAACGGGGATGATGTGCATGCATGCGCACGTGGGACAATATGCCCCCCCTTTTCCGCCCCTGCCCAATTAACAGTGACGTACCCAAGTCCTTTCTTTCTTCACGCCAGGCGATTATTCTTTTGATCGCCGAGATCTGCGTGACAATGTGTTCCCTGCGCCTCCCAGGAGACGGAATTGGCGACAGTAGCACAGCTAGCAGCTCCGCAGGGGGCCAGGAGGTTTCGTGTGACTGCCGCCTCCGCTAGACCTCCCAGAACCCACGGACATGACGATAATTGCGCAGCGGGCAGCCTCCGAGGGAGCCAGGAGGTCTCGCGTGACGACCGCCTCCGCTGGACCTTCCAGGACCCCACGAAGCTGGCGACTGTTGCGCAGCTGGCACTATCTGCATGAACGCCCCACGTACAAAAAAACAGTATCGCGAGATATGCACGACCTACGCTGCCCTGCACCTCCGCCGTGACTACCATAAGCCCACGAAGGTGACGACGGTAGGGCAGCTGACAGGTACCCAGGGAGCCGCGACGTCTCGCGAGACCACCGCCTCCGCTGGACACCCCGAGAGACCACGAAAGTGGCGATGGTGGCGTGGGCGGCAGGCACCCAGGGAGCCGCGAGGTCTCGCCGCTGGACCTTCCAGGACCCCACGAAAGTAGCGACCTTTGCGCAGTTGGCAGCTTCCCAGGCGGCCGCGAGATCTCGCGTGACTGCCGCCTCCGCTGGACCTCCCAGAAACCCAAGAAAGTGTAGACAGCTGCGCAGTTGGCAGCATCGCAGGTTGCTTTTTGTCAGAGGGGCTTTGGAGGGGCATTGGCCCTGATCAGGGGCTGTTAGAGTGTGTGTGTGAGAGAGAGGAGGGTTATTGCCAAGGAGCAGTGGTCAACCCCTCCCAAAAGGGGAAAAGGGGGGGGAAGAAGACACGCCCTAGATCACCTTAGCCCTACAGGGTTGGTGGGATTTGCGATCGATCGCTGGGCTTGACATTATTGCTGAGATTGTGCCTTGCGCCCAGCTAGTTGGGTGGAGGAGGGGCATGAGGAGGATAAGGAGGATGTGTGGAGGGGGTGTGGGGTGGGGAGGAGCAGCCGAGGATGAGGGCAGTTGGTGCAGATGCCGAGCGCTACCCGCGCCGCCCAGTGAGCTGCACCTGTCGCAGCAGCTGCACAGCTGCCTCGGCTACCCCTCCTTCCACGATGGAGCAGAACTGAGGCATGTGTCGGGGTGCGTCTGAAATATACAAAGATGTGATGACCACGTGGAGGAATAAGGCGCGGATGACAATGACGATCTGGATGAGGATGATGTTGAGGATGATAATGGGGATGCTGTTGATGCTGATGCTGATGATGGGGATGATGACGATGATGATGTTGATAGTGGTGCTGATGATGATGATGATGATGCTGCCGGTGATAATGAGGATGCTGATGATGACGAAGCTCCTGCAGCTGCTGCTGATGATGATGATGGTGATGATGACGGTGCTGATGGTGTTGATGGTGACGATGTTGATGATGTTGATAATGATGATGGCGATGATGATGCTGCTGATATTGAGGCTGATGCTGAGGCTGAGGCTGAGGCTGAGGCTGAGGCTGAGACTGCTGCTGACTATGACACTGACGATGATGATGGTGAGGATGATTTTGATTGTGATGAGGAGGTCAAGGATGAGGATGAGGATGAGGATGATGATGATGCTGGTGATGATGATGCATTCACTGCTGACGAAGATGCGATTACTGCGGCTGAGGCTGATGATGATACTGATGCTGATGATGCTGCTGAGAATGGCGGCGCTGACGATGATGTTGATGCTGATGCTGTTGATGCTGATGATGCTGATTGTATGATGATGATGCTGACGGTGACGATGCTGATGATGATGCTGCTGATCATGATGATGATGATGATGGTGATGACGGTGATGGTGATGCTGTTGATGTTGAGGCTGATGCTGAGGCTGATGCTGGTGATGATGACGATGACCATGACGATGCTGACGATGGTGATGCTGATGATGATGATGGTGATGATGATGCTGATGCTGATAATGATGATGATGATGATGATGATGATGATGCTGATGATGATGATGATGATGATGATGATGACGATGGAGGTACTCCTGAAGATGATGATGATGATGCTGGTGGTGATGGTGATGATGATGATGATGCCCGTATTGATGATGCTGATGTTGTTGATGGTGATGATGATGTTGGAGCGGTGATGGCGATGATGATGCTATTGATAATGTTGATGATGATGCTGATGATGGTCATGATGCTGATGATTATGATTATGATGATCAGCATGTTGTTGCTATGATGATGATGATGATGATGATGATGATGATGATGATGATGATGATGCTGATGATGATGATGATGATGATGATGATGATGATGATGTTCAGGTTGATGGTGCTTGTGGTGATGCTGACGATGCTAATACTGATGATGATGGTCTATGCGGATGAGGAGTGGGATGATGCTGCTTCTGATGATGATGGTGATGCTGATGATGACGAGGAGGTGGAGGAGGCGGGTAAGTAGTTGAGGACGACTCGGAAGGACAGGAGGGCAAGCAGCAGTAGGAGGAGGTGGACGAGGAGAAGTAGTGGACTATCGGTGGTGATAGCAACTACGATGACGGTGGCGATGATTATGATGTTGACGATGAGGTCGATAATGTTGTTGTCGATGTTCATGATAGTGGTCGTGATGATGATGGTGGTGGTGGCGGTGAATACGATGATGGTGATCATTATGTTGAGGATGATGATTCTGATGATTATGCTGATGATGACGATGCTGGTGATGATGATGCGCATGATGATGACGATGACGATGATTATCACGATGGTGAATAAGAAGAACAATGAGGAAGAGGAGGTGGAGGAGGAGGTGGAGGCCGAGGAGGCCTCGATGGAGGGAGCAGCAGAGGGGAAGGAGCAGGGTCATGCGAAGGGGCGGCTTTCGGCTGCGGCCGCAGTGGCTGGGGCAGAGCAGGAGCAGCTCTGGATCGAGTATCTGCGCGGGCAATGGGCAGGATCGAGCAGAGTGGTTGTAGTCTCGCGGCGATATGACCAAAAGAGCAGCAGCTCATCCTCGAAGAGGAGGAAGGACTTCAGAATGTCGCAGCAGCAGGCGTCGGTGTGGGCTAGCAGAGGTTTTTGGGGGGGCAGGGACGACAAGAGTGGGCCTCATTCTCATGTTCCTTCTCCCTTCCTCCTTCGCTTTTCCGCTGCGTGGCCCCGCTCTGGAGGGAAGGAGGAGGAGAAGGCGAAGCGTGAGGAGAGGAGTGGCGGAGGGGGAGAGAGCAGGGAGTTAGGAGGAGGAGGAGGAGCCAGAGTGGGATGGTGGTGATGGAGATGATGATTGTGGTTCTGACGATGACATCATTTGTTGATGATGACTGCGGTTGTGATGATGACCAGGAAGAGGGAGCACGAGTATTGGGAGCAGGGTGAGGTGGCGGTGGAGGAAGAGGAGGTGGATGGATGGAGGAGGAGACGGACGACCCGGAGGAAGAGGAAGAAGAAGTCTCACCAGCCTTCTGATCTCTGGTGAAATAGGGAGTTAGATCATCCTATCTCCTTCTCCTTCTGGGAGAAGTTCTGATCTGGTGGAATAGCGAGTTAGATCATCGTGCCTCCTTCTCCCTCTGGGAGAAGTTCACCTCTCCCCGCAGGACCCCTCTCCCGGTTCGCGACGGGCGGGGCCCCGACGGGTCAGCGCGTCCAATATTATGGTCTCAAGACGGCCCCAGAAGCCAGAATGCGTACAACATTGATGAAACGATTCCTCGTCTTATCCCATGTGCTGTGTATCCGAGATGTCAAATTCCTTCCATGCGTTTTTGAACCAAGTTCTCGTCGTATCCCATGCGTTTTGTAGCCGAGGCGACCAGTTCTCCCAATGCGTTTTTGCCATATCTCCTTCGCACTGTCGGTTGGCTTTTGGGGCTGCATGATGGTTCCGGCATAGTTCGAGAGCCCCAGTATGGCTCCAAGAACGCCCAAGAACGGCCCGATTGCGCCCCAAGAGAGGGTTCTTCGGACATTGACGGGGGCAGGCCAATTGAGGATCCCCGATCTTTTGATCGATGGCCTCAAAGATTGCTCCAAGATGGCCTCCAAGTCTCCCTGCCAGAGAGGCCCAAGAGGGCACCAAGAGAGCCACGAAGGCTTTCAACATTGTCCCAAGATGGCCGAAGCAAGCTGCCAAGAGGCTCCCATATCGAAAGGTCCGCGAAGGTGTTTCTGATTCACTTATGTGCTGCTCAGGCTGATCTAGATCTTCGGTTTGACGACGGCCCCCTGCGTTGGTCCATTGTTTCCTCCCACACTTCCCAGATCAAGGCAATTCGCCTGGGCATCGTTTCTGGATGGGCTGGTGGGGATACGCGGAGCGTCAAGACTATTCATAAGCTTCAAAAGAATTCGCATGATGGGAGGCAGAGGGGAGATGGAGGAGGGGTATGGCAGGGAGGGACATGCAGGAGGATCTGGAAGGTGCTACAGAGGAAGCGCGGAATGTGAAGGAGAAGAAGCAACATGAGGAGGGTGAGCTAATGCGGAGGGGGTGAGGGGGAAGGGAAGGGGGGGATGAGACTCTGCGATCGGCTGCTCGGGGAGCGACCCCATTCAACATGCAATTAGGGGGAGGGAACCAGGGAACGACCCCAGGACAGAACCCACCCGGTGGGAACTTTGGCTAGAAACTGATACCGCCGAGAAAGGAACTGTGGTTAGATCTGGCGCGACACGGCGCGATCGGACGAGAGGACAGGAATTCAGTCAACAGCAGCAGAGGCGAAGATGCCCATAGCTACGATATCGACTGCGGCCAGCACCAGTGTCACTCCAGTGCTTCTTTCCCTGATGTACAAGAGTGCTTCAACCCTGGCCTGTTGCCAATATGCTGTCAAATTCTAGACGCTTCGCGCAACCCCACCAGCATTGCGCTGTGCCTGACTCTCGCTTTACGGCCTGTTTGACGGCGCGCAGTTGCCCGCGTCGCTCGCGAGCAAAAGAGTAATCCCACCAGCTCATCCAGAAAAGGTGCCCAGGCGAGTTGCCCTGATCACGGATGTGGAGGAGCATGCAGTGGAAATACGGGGCTGTGGAAGCCGTCATACCCCATGAGGGGGAGGATGGAGGAGGAATCGGAGGAGGGGGAGGAGGAGGGGAAGGGGCGAGGAGGGCGGAGGGAGGAGGAGGACTAGGTGGATGAGGAGGAGGAGGAGGAGGAGGAGGAGGAGGAGGAGGAGGAGGGGGAGAAGGAGGGGGAGGAGGAGGGGGAGGAGGAGGTGGAGGAGGAGGAGGAGGAGGAGGAGGTGGGCGAACGGAGTCTCTTCGAATGTCTTTTACGAGTTTCTTGGGGTCTTCTCGGGGCTTCTTGGGGTCCTCTTGGCGGTCCCAGGGGCCTCTTGGAGGGTCACGGGTGCCTCGGGGAGCCTCTTGGGGGTCTCTCGGGAGCCTCTTGGGGGCCTCTTGTGGGCCTCTTGGGGCCTGCTGGGCGCCTTCGGGGGCCCTCTGGAGCACTCTTGGGGGCCTAACGTAGGGGCCATCTTTTGGCCATCTTGGAGGAGCTCGATCAAAGAAGGGGAGGTCCTTACTTAGCCTTGCCCCCCCCCCCCAAGGAGGTTAACGTGGACCCAGGAAGTAAGTAAAGGCAAGGATTTGACCTTCTGCCGACACCTCCTTGGACGCTCCAACGACCCGCGGGGCGCCCCGCCCAGGGGAGGGCATAGGGCAGGGGTCCGGCTGCCCTCAAGCAGCGAGCCGTCTCGCTCAGTCCCACCCGCCCTCCCAACACATGAGTGGTACGGTAGAGGGAAACAATTACTGAACACTCCCCCTCCCTCCACAAACTCAATGTGTTGGCACGCGAGGGGGAGACTGCGGTCGAAGTGCATCTCATCAGACCCACCGCCAACTTTGAACATTGGGGGGAGGGGGAGGCGTTGACGGATGAATGTGGTATGTGTTCGCTAATTTGTTCCCAGGCCTGTACCTGAGTCTCAGCATGGACAGAGACCGCAATCGACGACCGTCGGGAAGGCATGCTGACGCCAGCCAGGTGCGCGAAGCCCGCGACGTGCGCCGCACATGCCCGCTGCGCCACGCGCACCAGGTGCGCCACGTGGGGCAATCCGTTGACCCTCCCGCCGCCCCTGTCGAAAACCCATGCGCAGCGACGGTGGGCTTGTTGCGTGCGGGTGTGCGCCCACGATCGCTCTGCATGTGTGCCTGGTGGACCTGTACAGCGGGCCGTATGCCGCGCCCCCCCCCGCCGTCCCTGGCAAGATGAGTCCAGTGATTTTCCAAACCTCCGGTGTTGAGTTGTGCCCTGTTTTTGAATCGGGGGCGCCGGGCGTCCTGCCTTCTTCCTCGCCTCCTCCTCCTCCCGTCCCTCGCCTTTCCCCTCCGCGTGACTCTGTTTCGGTACGCCCCTCACACTACCCGTGGCCCCATAGGTAGCTCCACCTGAGGCCCCAGTGGTTGCGCCCGCGTGCCGCCACCACCCCACATTGGCCTACCCCTTACCCTTCTCATGGCCCCATAGGATGATCCACCTTAGGCCACAGTGGTTTTGCCCGCATGCTGCCCCCCTTCCCCCCCACTTTGGCGCACCCAACACACGTTTCGTGGCCCCTCAGATCCCCCACAAGACTCGTCAAACATACATTGACGGTGTGCCGTTTTCGGCGTGTGCGCGGTCGGCGCTGCTTCAGCGATGGCACGAGGCGCTAGGCCCACGCGCGAGGGTGTCCGAAATTCGGTCGTGCCTTCGCAGCATGGAAGAGCGCGGTTTCTGACGCGTGCCCGATCACTTTGGGCGGTACGATTTCGAGCGGCGTTTCAGTATATTTTTGACGAGGCTTGCCGCTGTGTCGTCCAGCATGGGCCCCAAGCAGCGCGTTCAAGCTCTCTCTCTCTCTCTCTCTCGGCGGCGCACGCGTGGCGCCACCTGCGCGGCGCAAGCCTCGCAGTGCGATGTATGCGTCGCGCGCGCTGGTGTCTGAGTCGCGGCATGCAGGCGCTGTTTGGGGACATTGGCTCAACGCGCGGGTATTTTGAAGGGGCCCTGGGACACACAAATAAATATACAAATAAAAGGATTCCCCATATTGTTCCATATTTTTTGGACTTTCGTCTTCCCCCCCACTTCCCATATTTGCGCGTATTCTCCTGGGGATCGACGATTAATTCTGCCTGTGTGTTTTTTTCCTCCTGGTATTTGCCGCGACGGGGCCAGCGCGGTCCTAAGCACCGTGGAGGCGAGGCCCGAAGTCAATGTGTCGTCCTGCCCTCATTCAGCCGGATAGCGTCGCGGGCCCAGCGATGCGAGGGTGCATGTCTCAAGCGACACGGCCCAGACCACGTTGCGCACATGTTCTCAGCGCCCTCGAGCGCTGCCGCGGCACATGTTCACAACGCCGCTACCTGACTGCGTCAATTTTTCACGACGCAACTGCTTGGCTGTGTCCACCGCGCTGCATTTTCTACAAGGGATGGTGTCAAGATAGTTGCGCAACTACCCCGAAAGTATACAGCCACCGCCCACTCGCCTTTTTCTTGATACGGATGACAATCATCGATATTGCGGCGATGCTTTTTATATAACAACTACCCGGTTGTGCCCACCGCAACCTTTTTTTATCAGGGATTATGGATCGGGTACTTGGGTGTTTCCTCTTTTGAAAAGAAAAGTCAATGTGTCACATCTTACAATTCTACAAGCACCTAAGCACCCAGCCCATAAACCCTGATACAAATCCAAAGTGCAGTGGGCACAACCGGGTAGTTGCTGTATAACAGTACATCACCGCATCATCGATGATTCTCATCCGTATCCAAAAGCAAAATCGAATGGACGGTGGTGGGTTAGTTGCAAGGTAGCTGCGCAACTACCCGGCCACCATCCCTTGTAAATGCAGCGCGGTGGGTGCCGCCAAGTAGTTGCGCAGCACAAAATGCGCCGCTGCGCAGTCTGGCGGCGGCGCCGTCATTGTGGCGGAGGGCGCGCGCGCGCAACGGTCGAATCTTGAGCACGAGTCCCGGGGTGGCTGCGATGGCGACTGCGGCGACGATGATAGCGCGAGCGCGAGGATGGCTGCGACGGTGGCAGCCCCGATGATGATGATGATGATGATGATGATGATGATGATGATGATGATGATGATGATGATGATGATGATGATGATGATGATGATGATGATGATGCTGATGCTGATGCTGATGCTGATGCTGATGCTGATGCTGATGCTGATGCTGATGCTGATGCTGATGCTGATGATGATGATGATGAGGAGGAGGAGGAGGAGGAGGAGGATGATGATGATGATGATGATGATGATGATGATTCGTCTGTCTCGGCTCCCCCGTTCAGCCCAGTCCAGCGCAGCGCAGGGCGGCGGCGACCTGCTCGCCCGCGGGCAGCCTCCGCTCGAGGCCTGCGAGCTCGCCCGGGGGCGGCGCGCCGCTGTCGAGCGAGGCCCTCGTTGGGCGCGACCGGCCCGCCGACGCACTCGCTCGCCGTGCGGGCCCTCGCTGGGCGCGGCCGCCCGCCGCCCTCGGGACTGGGCCCCAGGCCGCACTCGCTCGCCTGCGCAGCCGTGCCAGGGGCAGCAGCCTGGGAGACGAGAGCCGCGAGCCTCACACAGCAGGGGTGCAGCGCAAAAGCGCCCGGCCAGACCGAGCGACTGCGCGAATCACCACCCACCAATCCACCCCAACCCAACCCGAAAGCCTCAATTTGCCCTCCGTTTCCAGTGTGGGGGGGTGCGGGAACATCGGAAACACACATATGGAGCCCATACCCCCCCCAACCCGAAATTTGGGTCTTCGGGTTGGGTTGGGGTGGTCTGGTAGGTAGTCAGCGAACGCGCAGCAACGCGGCAAACAAACTCGTGGGCAGTGGTGGCACGCGAGCTGCACAAATACCCAGGAGGACGAAACGCACGGCGTACTCTTCCAGCTGTCACTCCCCGACGCATGTCCAGGGATGTGGGGCGCCAGGTCGAGCTCTGCTCAAGGACGGCCACCCAAGACGGCCCATTCACGACCACTACGGTCGGGACCTGTGGGATAGCGTGTCGCTCCGTTTGTTCTGGCCCACCACGCCCCGGCGCGACACGCTATCCATTTCGCGGGGCCTGGGCATCGATGTGCCGAGCTGTTCCCGGCCGCCCGCCCCGCGGAGCGAAGCGACACGCTGTCCGCTTGCAGGGCATAGCGTGCCGCCGAGGCCGCCGCTGCGACGCGCTGAGCAATCGTTCCCGACTGCAGCTGCGAGGGCCACGCGGTGTCGCGGGGCTGAGGCCCACGACCCACGAGAGGGAGAGCCCGAGGGTGGCCGACCACGACGACGAGCAGGGCCGCCGGCCTCGTGCCGCATGCGGCCAGGGATCGCCACACCGGTGATGGCGACGAGCGCTGGCCGCGCAGGCGCCGAAGGCCGAGGAAAGGGCAGCGAGGGGAGCCCCACGGGCGCGACCCGCCCACGAGCAGCGAGGCCCAGCGACACGCGCCCGCGCTTTCAGGGAGGAGGGAGCAGGCAGGGAGGAAGGAGGCAGCACCTGCGGCTATGTGCGAGGAAGGAGGCAAACACGAGCACCGCTCCTCCGCCCACACCCTCTGCACACTTGCCCCTCCCGGCCTGCGCGGCCGCCGCCGCTGCTCGCACACCTGTCGACGGCGAGCACCAGCGAGGCATCGGCGATGCCGATCGGAAGGAGTGCGGAGGAGCGAGGAGGTCAAGGGGCCCGGCCCCCGCCCCCCAGAGAGGCACACCGCCGACGAGGGGGACCTCGGCGCGGAGGACTTCGGGCGCCTGGAGGGGGCGCTGGCGGAGAACTTCCAGAGCCTGCAGGACCTGCGCCGCAGGCCGGCTTCTCCGTGGGCGGGCGGGGATCGGGAGCCTAGAGACGGGAGGCAATGCAAACGGGGGTCAGCCAGAGCGCCAGATCTTGCAGAATCCTGCAGGGCCAGGGTCGCATTGACCCAGGTTTGGGTGCAGGGTCCTGCAGGATCTTGCAGGATCCTTCGCATTGACCCGGGTTTGGGTTCAGGGTCTTGCAGGTCAGGATTCTGCGAGGCTTGGCTGACCCGGGTCTGGATTGACCCGGGTCAGAAGATCCCCGAGGGGAGGGGACCGAGGTTTCTCTGAGCGCGTTCGGCCTTTGCTGTGCCGCCAGAGGCCTGCAGTGGCCTCCGGAGGCCCCGTAGGGTCCACGGTGCCTTTGGGAGGCCTCCGCAGCCGCTGGGCCGCGCTGGCTCTGAGAGCCGTTCGAACGCTCGCGGCCTGCGGTCAGGTTCTGTGGTCAGCGTGTCGCTCCGCCAGTTCTGGCCCACCAAGCTGCGGCGCCACACGCCATCCATGTCCAACCCCAGAAGCTCGGAGGCGACCATAGTCAATGGGGCGTTGGCCCAGGGCGGGCGTTACACGTATCCCTCCGGGAGCCACGCCGAAGACACGTACCATCGGCGCCCCTATCGTCGCCTCCGAAAGGCGTGCAGTCGTGAGCCTTTCCCGACCTCCCGCCCCGCGGAGCGGAGCGACACGCCATCCGCTCTCATGGCACAGCGTGTCGCCGGTGCCGCCGCAGCGACACGCCGAGCAGAAGTTCCCGACCGTATCTCTCCGCCGGTGGCGGCCCCCCCCGCACCCTCGGGAGCCTAGAGGCGGGGGTCAATGCAAACGGGGGTCAGCCAGAGCGCCCGATCTTGCATGATCCTGCAGGGCCAGGGTCGCATTGACCCGGGCTTGGGCGCAGGATCCTGCAGGATCTTGCAGGATCCCTCGCATGGACCCGGGCTTGGGTGCAGGATCGCGCAGGAGGTTGCAGGATTCTGCAAGGGCTGACGGACCCGGGTCCGGATTGACCTGCGTCAGAAGATCCCCGACACCCCACGGGCCACGGTACTCTCATGTCGGGCGTGTCCCCCTACAGGGGGATTTTCGACGAAAAATAAAAAATGCTCCCAAAATGCCCCAAAAAGGTCAAAACATACTCAAAAAATAGTCCCCAGACTATTTTTAAACTATCTTTTATTATTTGTGGGGCATTTTTTATTTTTCCTCGACAATCCCCCTGTAGGGGGACAGGCCCGACTTGACGGTGCTCTCGGCGACGCCGCCCCCCGGTGCGCTTCGCGCGCCTGGTGCGGGGGGAGGAGCGCCTGGCGCTGGCGGAGAGCCGGTCCGCGGGCGCACGCGCAGTGCCTTCAGATCCTGATGTTGCAGTTGTCTCACAACTCGCGCTTTGGCTGAAGTCGGGCCTGTCCCCCTACAGGGGGATTTTCGACGAAAAAGACAAAATACCCCAAAAATAGTCAAAACATGCTCCACAAATAGTCCGGGAACTTTTTTTTTTTTGTTTTTTGTTTTTTTTTGTTTTTACCTTTTGGGGGTATGTTTGGGGTATTTTTCCCAACCCTCCTGCGTTGGGTACTCGTTTTGAATAGAGCACTGCGGTCTCCACCTTCCTTCCTTCCTTCCTTCCTTCCTTCCTTCCTTCCTTCCTTCCTTCCCGCCTCCTCCTCTCTTCTCTTGCTCTTACCCCTGGGGGGCTGCGATCTGTGAAACTGTCGCCACTTTCGAGGGCTGCTGGGGGGCCCAGCGGAGTGACGCCCTACGGGGATTCAGATTAGACCTCGCCATCCCTGGGGGGCTGCGATCTGTGAAACTGTCGCCACTTTCGAGGGCTGCTGGGGGGCCCAGCGGAGTGACGCCCTACGGGGATCAGATTAGACCTCGCCATCCCTGGGGGGCTGCGATCTGTGAAACTGTTGCCACTTTCGAGGACTGCTGGGGTGGCCAGCGGAGTGACGCCCTACGGGGATTCAGATTAGACCTCGCCATCCCTGGGGGGCTACGATCTGCGAAACTGTCACCGCTTTCGACGGCGGCTGGGGTGGCCAGCGGAGTGACGCCCTACGGGGACTCAGATTAGACCTCGCCATCCCTGGGGGGCTGCGATCTGTGAAACTGTCGCCACTTTCGAAGGCTGCTGGGGTGGCCAGCGGAGTGACGCCCCACGGGGACTTAGATTAGACCTCGCCATCTCTGGGGGGCTGCGATCTGCGAAACTGTCGCCACTTTCGAGGGCTGCTGGGGTGGCCAGCGGAGTGACGCCCTACGGGGACTCAGATTAGACCTCGCCATCCCTGGGGGGCTGCGATCTGTGAAACTGTCGCCACTTTCGAGGCCTGCTGGGGGGCCCAGCGGAGTGACGCCCTACGGGGATTCAGATTAGACCTCGCCATCCCTGGGGGGCTGCGATCTGTGAAACTGTCGCCACTTTCGAGGCTGCTGGGGGGCCCAGCGGAGTGACGCCCTACGGGGATTCAGATTAGACCTCGCCATCCCTGGGGGGCTGCGATCTGTGAAACTGTCGCCACTTTCGAGGCTGCTGGGGGGCCCAGCGGAGTGACGCCCTACGGGGACTCAGATTAGACCTCGCCATCCCTGGGGGGCTGCGATCTGTGAAACTGTCGCCACTTTCGAGGGCTGCTGGGGGGCCAGCGGAGTGACGCCCTACGGGGATTCAGATTAGACCTCGCCATCCCTGGGGGGCTGCGATCTGTGAAACTGTCGCCACTTTCGAGGGCTGCTGGGGGGCCCAGCGGAGTGACGCCCTACGGGGATTCAGATTAGACCTCGCCATCCCTGGGGGGCTGCGATCTGTGAAACTGTCGCCACTTTCGAAGGCTGCGTGGGGGGCCCAGCGGAGTGACGCCCTACGGGGATACAGATTAGACCTCGCCATCCCTGGGGGGCTGCGATCTGTGAAACTGTCGCCACTTTCGAAGGCTGCTTGGGGGGCCAGCGGAGTGACGTCCTACGGGGACTCAGATTAGACCTCGCCAGCGCTGGGGGGCTACGATCTGTGAAACTGTCGCCACTTTCGAGGGCTGCTGTGGGGCCCACGAAACTGTCGCCACTTTCGAGACCTGCTGCGGGGTCCAGCATAGTGACGTCCTACGCGGACGCAGATTGGACCCGTCATTCTACTTCGATTATCCCGCATCTGCGATCGACTGTATGTGTGCGAGGAACTAGACATGGAGTGGTCTGGCACTGACTGACGTCAAATCGTTGTGTGCCAGTGTCTCCTGGGGGGTTGCCTGATGTGGATGCACCTCGTCGGCGCTGCGACTCGAGCTGGCGGTCGTCCTTCGGACCCGCAGAAACATCTGCTGAGCTCGGTGAGCTAGGGGAACTACAGGAAATAAGTGCAGGAAACGGAGGCCGGTCATGCACTCGCCGATACCTCGTTGCTCTGTCATCGTCTTTGCTGTTGCATGATCCTTCTCTGGCCTGCCGGCGCCGCGGCTCGAGCTGGCGGTCGCCCTTCGGGCCCGCGGGAACATCCCCTGAGACAAGTGGACGCCGCCGCCTTACTTGCAGGCAGCGCATCGCATTCGCGGACAGCAGCATGGCAGACCGCAGTGAGATCCTCAGTCGCGTGGTGTTGCCAAGCCTGGTGGAGACGCGCGTGATCGACCTGAAGTCCCAATCGCGCGTGCACTGTACCTGCGTGGCGTTCAGGCACGCGCGTGATGCTGCTCGCTCCGCGTTCAACCAGTACGTCGCCAGTGCAACTTTGGACGATGGACAACCGATTGATGATACGCGACCCCGGCCTTGAGTTTCTTTCCCGCGGGCCGCCCGCAGACCTGGCGGCGCGCCTGCGAGCGTTCAGCTCCCGCGCTGAAATGTGCGGGAAGGAGGCGGAGAAGCTAGCGGGCGAGCTACGCCTCGCTCGTTCCTTGCACTCTAAACAAGTTTTATCATGTGGAACTCTGCGACGACATGGCGCAGGCAGCGCTGCGGGTTTAGCTCGCACTTGAAAAACGCGGCAGTCTTCTGTCTCCTCCCGCCACTTTCATCGTCGTCCTATTCCCCGCCTCACCTTCTCCATGCATGCTGCTGCTTCCGCGATGGCCTTTCGCCCCCCCCGCCCTCCATTCCATCCCTCTCCTACCCCTCGTTCCCGTGCCCGTTCTTCTTCGATCCTGGGGCCTCAATCCTCGTTCTTTCGATCGTCGTCCTGTGAATCGTGCAACGCATGCGCATCCCATGTAGCTTGCGCAGCAAATCGCCGCGTCTACACTGTCGTTGTTCCTGCTAATGTTGGCATACTCCTCTTTCCATTTGATGCGCGTGGGTTGGGTACGTCGCAGGGTAATTTATTTTTCGTCGAAAATGCCCCTGTAGGGGGACAGGCCGCACTTAAGCTTTGGCACAGTTCCGGGCCCCAGATCGAACGGCTTCGAAACAAATATGGCGCAGAGAGATGGGGTTGGGGGCTCCAGTCGCGATGTTCTGCGATGTAGCACTTTTGTTCGCAGCGTCGGATCTCATAGCAAGGACGGAGGAGGCATGGTATGGTATGGTATGGGTCAAGTTTCGGCGGCGAGCGAGGGGGGGAAATCAGAACGGGCGCGCCTTCTCAGAAGGCTCGGAAGTCCCCGGGCCTTCTGAGAAGTTTTCTAAGCGTTCCCCGAAGACACAGAAAATTTCTCAGAAGGCGCGAGGGCTTCCGAGAAGTCCCGCCGCCTTTTGGGAAGGCATTATCCTTCTCATTTCCCCCCCTCGCTCGCCGTTAAAAGTCGGAAACTGGAGCATATACATTACCAGTGGCGGGCGGTTTTTCAATCCCAGGACTTTTTGAGGGTCGGGGACGACGTCGGGGTGGTGTGGTGTATACTTGTTTCCCCGTTTTCCGGTGGAAGCAACGAAGAATGTATACACCAGGATCCCATATACGCCAGGATTCGTTTTTTGTGCGAGATTCAGTGTGAGGCATGACAAAGGCGTCGGTGTAACTATAGAGTTCGGCTCCTTAAAAAGTTAGTCAGGTCGGACGACTCAGAGGTCCATGCCCATTCCCACCCTCCCTCCCACAACATTAGAATCAAGTGTGGCGCAACTTGCAAATGGGACTGGAACGCGTTCCCGCGCGGGTGCAGTCCCAGGACTTACCGAAGACCAAGACTGAATCGTCGAGCTCGACGAGCGCGCGGGCTGCAGCACCACAGGTATCCCAACCCGTGCAGTGGCCCCTCGGTTGCCAGCACGCGCTCACCACCCTTTTGCCTTCTGGACAAGTGCCAGGACGTTCGGCAGTCCCGCCACCACGCTGCTGTTGAGTGTTGAGCTCCTCGGACTCCTGCCCCTGTGGCCAGCCCCTTGAGGTTTGTTGGCGGCGGCGGGGATGCCACCAGCACCACCGCTACTGCGCGCTGCCGATGCTCTGATAGGTCGTCGCCCTTCAGTTTCTCCGCGTCGCCGATGTAGCATTCCTCGACCTCTGGCGCCGCGGCGGCCTCAGCAGGTCAACCGGGACCAGGCGCCAGTTCCGGGGTGTGCGTGCTGGGGTGGGCGGCCAGGGCCACATTCAGCACCCTCTCTCGGCCAACCCGCGCGTGAGGGCGTCCAGCTCAGCGCAAGGGACGGCAAGCTGGAGCCACGGGTGGGACCGCCCTGAGCCAACATGGACACGGCTTGTTGGGATGGAGGATGAGGAAGCGACTAAGGGGGGAGGGAGCGTTGGGCCGGGTCGGAGGAGGGGAGGGAGAGGGATGGGCACGGGAAGGGTGGGGAGAGGAGGGGAGAGGAAGGGATCGAGAAGAAAAAAGAGGAAGGAGGAGGGTGGCAAAGAGGAGGTGGAGTAGGAGACAGGAGTGATGATGGCGTATGGAGGCGGGATTTGGGAGCAGGAAGGAGGGAACAATAATAACGATGGGTGCAGGAGGAGTAAGAGGAGGATGAGGTTGAGGAGGAGGAGGAGGAAGTGGAGGAGGAGGAGGATGAAGAGAAGGATGAAGAAGATGACCAGGAGTACGAGGACGTAGATGAGTAGGTTCACGAGGGCGAGGAGCGCGAGGAGGAGGAGGAGGAAGATGAATGAGGCAGAAGGAGCGGAACGAGGAGGCGGCGGAGGAAGACGTTCTCCGTGCCACTCTAGAATAGTGTCGCCTCCCAGGTCTCTCCCGCACGCCGCGGAGACGACGCTGTTCTGCTCCTGGGCGGACGCGCTCAGCGTGTTCCGGCGCTTCCGCCAGGCCCTGCAGCTACCAGCCGAGGTCACCCCTACCGCCCGCACTTGTGCCGCAGCTCGATCAGCTCAAGCCCTTGCCCTTCTCTTGCCCTTCCCTTGGGAAAGGGGGGCCAGCGTTTTGGCCCCGTTGGCCTCGCAAGGGCAGGCCAGCTGGAATTGCGACGGCATCGGCGAGACGGCGAGCGCTTGTGGGACAGAATGTAGCGCGATCCAATATGTATGGTGCGAGCACTTTCCAAATGGCATGCAATGCGAGACGCGCGGAACAGAGATCGTGAACGCCCATGTGTCGAATGATGGTGGCCGCTGGTTCTCATGCTGGTTATCCTCCTCTTGTCGTCTCTTGCCAGCCACAGCTCTGGGTCGATTGAGAATGCGTAACCTCTACCGGTCTTTAGTTTTGGCCCCCCCCCCCCCCCCTTGTCTCTCCGCGGTGACTAGGACTGGTCCTACAACCTCCTCCCTCTTCCCCTCCTCCTCCTCGTCCTCCTCATCCTCCTCCCGCTAGGAGGAGGAGAAGGAGGAGAAGGAGTAATAGTAGTTGTCGTAGTCCTAGTCGTTTTCGTAGTCTTAACTGGCGGCGGCATTGTTGCGCGGCGGGTGCCGCGGGAAACAAATAATTAGTTATCCCCTATCGGTGGGACCCCAGTCCGTAAAGAAGACCGCCGACACATTAATTAGTTATAAGGGGGTCTAACGACCCTTCGCGTTTATCTGCTCACGGCCGAGACCCAGAACCCCCAATTCTGAAGGCAATTTTCGGACCATTGGGAAGATGGCCGTCTTGGTTCGGTTACGGCCTTGGCGTCCTTGCATTCCCTCCAGCCCTGTCTTCCCTCCTTTCCTTCCTCGATTTGTCTTTTCCATCCCTCGACCCTTCCCCTCTCCTCAGCTCATCACTCCGTCCATGCTTGAGGAGGTGGAAGGGTGGCAGGGTGGCGAGTGGAGGGCACCCGCGGCCCGCTAGCCCACACTCGTTGCCGTGACTCCTCCTGCAGCTGATCATGCTCCTCCTCCCTCCTCATCCCTCCTCCATCCTCCCTCCTTCATCCCGATTCCCTCCTTCCTCCTCCGACTCCCTACCCTCATCAGGATTCCCTCTTCGAGGACGGCGTCGACGTTCGCCAGCGCGGACATGCGAATTCCATGGTTTCGTCAGGCTCCATGGCAGTCGTGTGCCCACTGGGTGACCTGGAGGTACCCAAGCCACCCACGGTTCTCACAGGCTTCGTGAGTGCGGGCGACGGTATCATCCCTACTGCCCGCGCCGTGGTCCCGATTAGGGTCCGCTTCGCTCATGCGGCCGCATGGATCCCCACCACCTTTACATTTTCTGCCGCTTAGGCTTCGGAGGGGGCCGAGGACTCTTTTATGCACCCTCGGCCAACGAAGGCGTCCACAAAGGAGTGTCCAAACGTACATCCACCTGTTTTACACCGTCACCCAATACACCAGTCAACCAATTACTCATCGTCCTCCCCCCTCACGCGGCCTTGGGCTTGCCTGGGACCATAGGGAGCGTGTCTGGAGCGCAGACGCGCACGTGCTGCTCCGCCTCAACAAGGCATCACTGGCGATGCAGGCATCATGATGAGTAGCCAATCGGCCCTCAGGGTAGTCATTCTTGCCCTCTACTCGAGCGTGTGCGTATCGTCGACGCAGTGCCCTCGGCCATAACCGTTGGCAACAGCACCCATGCCTCCTTTAGTAAGGTTCTTCCGTACACGGTTATTGTGTTGCCGCGGGATGTATCTCTCCCGCCAAGTTTTTCGTCCAGTGCGCAAGCGGCGGCTATTGGATTTTTCCCCAGTCCGGCAGGCCTTCGCCAAGTGCGAGTGCTTGGTCATATTGAGCAGGCAAGGGCTGCCCCGATATTCGGTGGCGCTCGGATGGCGATTTGGAGGGCTCCTGGCCTGGGCGACGAGGCACTCGTGCCCACTGGCTGAGCAGCGGCGGGGCCCTGGGCACCGTGCACCCGCCCTGGCCGCGGCCAGCACCGCCGCGCCGCCCAGGCCAGGCGCCCGCCGCGCCGCTCGCGGAGCGTGGAGCCCCAGACCCCTGAGCTCATGCATCGGCGGCGCCCTGTGGTGCGCGGTCACTGCGCGTCGCGGCCGGCTCCACGCCCGCGTCGTGCAGTCGACGGCTTTTGACCACGAGTTCGGACGAGACCAGAGGCGCCCCTGACCGACGAGGTGCCTGGCCCGGCCCAGCGCCCGGCTCCGCGCACCAGTTCGGCGAGGCCGCTGCGGTGCCCGGCGACCCGCCCACGGAGGACGTCGCCAGTCTCGGGGGCGGAAAAGATGGGGGTGATGACCAGGGGGGGGGGGTATCATGGCGGGGGCCATGATATCTCCCCAGATTTCATGGCGCCTCTTCTTATTTCATGACGTCCCTGGCCCCCCCGCTGGGCCGCGCACATGCCGCCGGTCATGATTTGCACATCCCCCTCTTGGACACCCCCTTCTTGGCCGCTCCCAACAGTCTCGACTCCGCCGCCAGGACCGTGGCAGGAGGCTCGAGCAAGGACCCCTGGAGCTGACGGCTACGAGCGCAGGCTCGAAGGAGCAGAGGAGTCCTGATCCTCCGCAAGGCCTTGATGAAAGCAGAGCTCGACCTCGGCCCCGAGACCGGCTTCGCGAGTGAGCTCGACGAGGCTTTCTGCGCACATTGTCTCTGCCCGGTGAGGAGGACGACTCCCTCTGCGCCGCGTGCGTATTCGATGTTTTCGGCGACCGCACCGTTCACGTGTTCGATGGGGACCCGGGCCGCAGCCCCATACGAAAGACTACGTGTCCCTGAGGCGCGGTGACACGGTCGTTCTGTGTTTGAGCTTTCTGTGGTTCCGCATCTGTGAGGAGGGAAAAAACACACACAGACACAATGAATCGTCGATTCCCAAGAAAATATTGGAAAATATGGGAAGTGGGCGGGAAGACAGAAGCCCAGAAAATATGGGAAAGCATCGGAACTATTGTTATGTGTGTGTATTTATTTGTGTGTGTCCTTGGGCCCGTTCAATCTGGCTGGTTGCCGCCGCCGCCTTGCCGAGAGAGCTCCCGCGTGGGAGTCGCCGCCGCGCTCTTCCTGCCCCTCCCCCCGCCCTCCGGCCTCGGAGCCTGCAGGCCTTCAGGCGCGCAGTCAGGCAGCCCGAGCAGGGCGCGCGCGCGTGCGCGCGCCCGGTATCGGCCCGAGTTCGGGCCCACCAGGATTCGGAGGGGAAAACACAAACACAATTAATCTTCGACTCCCAGGAAAATATGGGAAAATATGGGAAGTGGGGGGAAGACATGTGAAAATATTGGGAATTCCTTTAATGGGAGGAAGCGATTAAAAAAATCGCCCCCCCCTCCCCCCCCCTTGGACCCCCCAAAATGATTGAGTGGGGCGGACTAATAGAATTCAGCAGCCGGAGACTGTTTTTTTAATCGTCCCCCCCCTGGCGTTTGCTTTTGCCCCTTTGGGGGAACTGATTTTCTATTCGTCTTCCTTCGCTCGCTTGATCACCCGCGGCCGCGGGGGGAGGATTGCGGAGGGGGGACAGGGTAATTAGGGCGTAGTTGAGGGAAGGGGTTTTCGAAGAGGCGCTTGAGCACCCTCGTCCTTTCGGACGGCCGCCGGTCGTCCTTGCGGACGGCCGCGGCGATTGGGAGGTGGGGGAGGAGGAGGAGGAGGAGGAGGAGGAGGAGGAGGAGGAGGAGGAGGAGGAGGAGGAGGAGGAGGAAGAGGAGGTGGGGGGAGGAGGAGGAGGAAGAGAAGACGGACGAGGAGAAGGAGGAGGACGAGGAGGAGGACGAGGAGGAGGACGAGGAGAACGAAGAGCCCCCGGATCGCCACCCCGTGCCACCCCCCTGGCCTTCCAGGCAACCCGGAATTGTCAGCCCCCCGTCTGCCTGCCCTGCCCCCCCGCTATTGCGGGAGCGAGGAGGCCCGCGAAACACTTGTTTTAATCGTTTGCCCCAAAAAGTTGGTTTTAATCGTTTCTTCCCATTCTTTGTGTGTGTGTTTATTTGTGTGTCCCAGGGCCCCTTCACAGGAGACGAGCCGGCAGAAGCGGAAACGCCACCGCCTCCAACGCACCGCCGCAGCGGAGCCACCCACCGCAGCGGCCCGCTAGGCAGGCGCGGCAGGCGGCAGGGGCAGCTGGACATCGGGAGGGGCGCGGGCGGCCGCATTGCGGCGGCCAGCAAGAGCGGCCGCTGGGGGCAAGGGCGGGGACGGGGACGCCGCTGGGGTACGCCGGCTCGCCGCAACGCACCGCCAAGCGAGCGGCGCAGTTCCTGCGCCCCCTGGCGGCGGGTAGCGCCAGCGCCGGCCGGCGGAGGCATCAGAAGGAATTGGCCGCAATGAGGAGGTGGATGCAGATTGGGCCGAGGTTGACCGCGCCATCGCGCAGCAATCGCCACGGCTCAAGAATGCGGTGCGGTCGCATGCCGCCGCGGCGTATTTTTTGGTTTGCCGTTGACATACGGCTTGACGAGTTGACGACGGCAGGGGCATAACATAATCCTGAACCTCGGCAACACATCGTTTACACTACATCATCGGCATCCCCACCAACGCAAATGATAGTTGTCGTTCATCTTCCCTTGGGTTCCCCTCTCGCGGTGTTGTCTCAGTTCCGCTCAGTACGTTGCGCCGCCCGTTATGACCGGCATGACGCCCCAAATTGCGGCGCGGTTTCAGGTGTTTTGCCAAATCACAGAGCTGCATTGGCTGTAGTGTTGGTGGGTATGTTCCTTTTTCGAGTGATTTTGCGCCAAGGTCTGCGTAGCTCAGCTCCCCGTCTGACTGATCGCAAGGCCACAAAGACAGCGGCACGCCACTGCTCCTCAAGCTGAATCCCCCGCTTTCGTTTTCCACCTCCCTCTGGCCGGCCCCCCTTCCATTCCCCCCACGTCCCCGCTTCCTCATCTTCCCATATGGTTTCCCCCTCCCTCCCGGTTGCAGGTGCGATGCACGGGGAAGCACCCGACTGGCGCGGAGGAGGACAGCACCCCCGAAGCAGTTGCACAGAACCATGTCCGCCTGGGGTCCACGCTGGTCCGTTCATGGACGCTTCTCGTCGTTATGGTGGCCGCCCCTGCTTCGGTGGAACGCGCAGAGCGCCACGACATGTATTCCGGCGTTGATCCCTCTTGCCTTGCCCGTGCCCTCACCCTCAGAGAATGTTGCGGAGGATGGCGAGGATCAGAAAAATGACGAGGCAGAGTACGAGGAGGACAGGTAGGCGCAGGTGCAAGCGAAGGAGACGTCCTGAGAAGAGGGCGAGGCGGAGGTGGGAGGAAGAGGGGGGCCATCTGGCGGCTTGCTCGTGCTCGACGCTGGCCCCTCGGAGCAGCCTTCCATCCCGTGACGTTTCTCGACCGCCCCTGCGCCCGCGGCTGGCCTCCAGCGACCCAAGCTGGCTCGAACATTGGCCGTCTTCAGTTCCCTGGCATCGCTCGGACGTGTGAATTTGTTTCTCGGCGAGGACCATTGAGGACGATCCTGGACCATCGAGCAAACAAAAACACGCACGAAACCGAACAATGCACGGGAAACGGACGTCCGAGCGATGGCGAGGCTCCCCCTGCGAACGCTGCCTCTCTTTCGGGCCACGTGGGCTGCCCGGGCTCCCCTGCCCCTGCAGCAGGACTCCACCGACCGGCTCGAGGAGGTGCGCATGGTGTCCCGCCCCAAGGGCGCCCGCAAACCGACCGCGCGATCGCCTGCATGCGCCCGTCCCACCCGATCGCCTGCATGCGCCCGTCCCACCCACTTCAGCACACGCCTCACACGTGTGGCGGCCCCATAGGGAGCTCCACCGAAGGTCCCTGCGGTCGTCCTCCGGCACGCCTCCTCCGTCGATTTCGGCACGCCCCTCACACGTGCCGTGGCATTATGAGGGGCCCTACTGAAGGTCACGGGGGCCTTCATCGCATGCGGCTGCCCCAATGCCCGCATGCAGCACCCGCCCCATGTTGGCACACCCTTCGCGCAGTTCGCCCGTCTCACACAGTTCGCGGCCCCCTAGGGAGGTCCCCCCCAATCGCCCCGCCCGCCCTGCGATGTACACAACTGCATATGGCTAGTTCCCTCGACAGGATAATTTGTTCCAGAGGTGCGCGCGGATGTTTTGGGCCGGCGTTGGACCCAAGTATTGGGCGCACGAAAAATGTGCGCTTGACGCACGCTGGAGGTGCTGCCAGAGGGGGTCCAGCGTCCTTAAGAGATCTGGGTGGACATACGAAAGTTTGTAGCTTCTGCCATTCATTCTCCGAAAGACGAGAGGGAAGCTGGTGTCCCGCCGCGGGGCCAGCACCTTCGTCAGACCGTGGCGACGGGGCCCTCAGGCACGCCCCAAGAGAGCGACGCCGACTGACGACAGCGGCGGTGTCGCTGCTGCTGCTGGCTGCTGCTGCTGGCTGCTGCTGGCTGCTGCTGCTGCTGCTGCTGCTGCTGCTGCTGCTGCTGCTGCTGCGTCCTCCCCCCCCTCGCGGGAGGAGGACTGTGCCCCGCCGCGAGGGCTCCTCGTTCCCTGCCGCGCTGGGGGCATACCTCTCTTCCTCGCGGCCTGCGCCGCCACACGATCCGAGGACGTCGGCCCCAGGAACTCGCGGACCAGGGCTGGACCGAAAACGGTGTGTGTTTTTGGCGATTTCGTGGGCCGTTGCCGTTTCGACTTCGTTTTGCGGTAAGGGCGGATTCGAGACAAAAGCGAGGGAAAACGAAGACAAAACGAAAAAGAAAAACACCGTTCAGGTTCAGCCCTGTCATGGACCGAGCCCCGAGCCCTTGGCATCGCTCGGACGTGTGCACTGTTCCTCCGGTGAGGACCATCGAGGAGCATCCTAGATCATCCTGCGAAAACACCGCGCACGAAACCGACAAAAACCACAGGGGGGCCCCCCTGCTGCCCCGCCGCGTGCGCCGCCAGCCCCCCCCCCGGGGCGCGCCGAGGTCCTGCCTCTTCCTCGCGGCGTGTGCCGGCGCGGCAGGCGCTCGGCGGCGCTCTCTCGCTCGAGCGTTTCCCGCCGGGCCTCGTGTTCGGCGCGCCGTCGTCGATGCGGGTTCGTGATCTGTCCGAGTCGAGGAGGGGGGGGAAACCAGGAGGGAAAAAACACACGCAGACACAATGAATCGTCGAGCCTCCAGAAAATGTGGGAAAGTATGGGAAGTGGGGGGAAGGCCCAAACCCAGAGAACATGGGGAAAGATTGGGAATCCTGTGATTTGTGTAGTTATTTATTTGTGTGTCCCAGGGCCCCTTCAAAAAAAAGGCCGGGAAAGGTTGGCTGGATGTCAGATGTGACGTGAGCTCGCGCACGCACGCATCTCTCGTCTCTCATCTCCCATTCCTCGCCTCGCATCCTTCTATCTCTCTCTCTCTCTGTCTTTCTCTCTTTCTCTCTCTATCTCTCCTTCTCTCAGATTCTGCCATGTCCAGTCGTGCACCGCTTTCCCATCCCATCCTCCGTCCTGTCCCCTACCTCGTTCCGTTCCTGCTTCGTTATCTTCTCTCCCCCTCACGTCCTCGTCTTTCCAGGCCTCTGGCTGGTCGAGTGAATCGCGCCGGATGCTTCTCCGTCTAATTTCGGCATCCAGAGGCCGCTTTCGGGCATTGGGACCGTCCAACAAAAACCCAGGATGATACTTGGTCTATGGGGAGGGGCCGAGAGTTCAGGGACGGGCGATTCGAAAGAATCCAGTCGTCGGAGACCTGAATTCCTCGTTCGCATCTTCTTATGGCCTCGTACCGCCTTGGGCACCCGCTAGCCGCAGGAGTCGTGGTGGCGGCGCTGCAGCGGCGCTGGGGCTGGATGGCCGGCAGCGCAGCCTTCGGCGAAGCCAATGCGGTGCCCTTCTGTTTCTGCTCTGGGCGCGCGTGACTGCACAGCAGCCCAGGAACGCTCGAGAGGGAGCAGGGCGACGGGAGCGGCTTGCCTCGAGGGCACCGCGCTTCTGAGGAGAGACTCGCCTTGCGGACGCAGTGCCCCCCCCCGCCTCCCGAAACCGGGGGAGGCCTTCCCAGAAGGCCGTCGCTCCCAGGGCTCAGGCGCGGCATGAAGCGCGAAGTTTCGGAGGCCCGCGCGGCTTTCTTGGGTTGGAGCTGGACGAGAAGCCGAAGCCCGGATGATTCGGTGGGGGTTCTGAGCGGAGATGGCCCTCGCGCATTGGAGGATGACGATTAATAAATGACAGGGGGTCGTGTTCACGCGGCGGCGCCCGGGATGACGATTAGAAAAAACCGGCCGCGGGCTGGAAAATTATTCTTTTGAATCGTTCTCCTCCAGTCCGAAATTTGTGCAGAAATAGCAGAGAACTTTTTTTTTTGAATCGTTCTCTCCCATTTTTTATGAATCGTCATCCCGCATTAAGCCAGGCGCCCGCCGAGGGCGTGCCGGAAGTAAACCAACGTCGAGTTTGGGGGCCCACGGCAAGAAGGCCCGCGTGACAGAAGGAGGCAGTCCTTGATGTCCTCTGCGCGCGGCACGCTCGCTTATCTGTTACCTCTCGGGCCACAGTTCACGACCTTTCGATTCGCGCACCCTTTGATTCGCGCAGCGGTCGAGGTGGAGTGGGATGGAGTTCAATTTTCCAGGGATCAGTTTGAATCAGCCACTTCGGTTCGATTCGATTTCGATGGATTCCGATTCCGATTCGATTCGATTCGATTTAGGATTCGAATGTGAATTCTGATGTCTCTAGTGGGGCCTTCCTACAGTCAGGTGAGTATTGTTGGTGGTGACATTTTGATTTTAGAGTTCAGAGGGGTTTGAGGAGGGGAAGGAGGAGGAGGAGGAGGGGGAGGATGAGCATGATAATGATGAAGAGGAGGAGGAGGACGCTTGCGAGCGCGCGCGCGCACTCGCGCCCGCACGCACGCGCATGCGCACGCCCACCCTTTTGTATGCATAAGCTGCTGGAGCCACCTTTTTTCTTAAGGGTGCTGGAAACAAACGGAGTGCTGGAACCCATGTGCCTTGCAGGCATTATCAGCTGGATTGACACTCCTTCGTAACATTGGGTGCTGGAACCCACGCCGTTGGCTTCTGGAGCCACGTGTTCCTTTACACATTCGAGCGCTGGAACCATTTGTCTTGAAGGCATGAGCTGCTGGAGCCATTTTCCCTTGTAATCATTGGGCGCTGGAGCCCACGCCCCGTTTAGGGTTTAAACGTCTGGGTCTGGCGGGGGGAGGGGGGGGAATGGCCGGGGGGAGGGGGGGGGGCGACCCCCCCAGGCCGCGGGGCGGCCCGGGGGCGGTGGTCTCTAGCATTGTGGTCACGCCTCGCTCCCACACGGGGGCAGTTCGCGCATGCGTGCGCGCGCGTGAGCGTGCGCGTGCGCGTGCGTGCGCGTGTGCGCGCGAGTGCGCGCGCGCGTGCGCATGCGCGTGCGCGTGCGCACGCGCACGACGTCATCCAGTCATATGACCGACGACAGCGAAAAACGACGACGACCACGACGGACGACGACGACGACGGACGACGACGACGACGGACGACGGCCGACGACAACTGAGGACGGCGACGACGAACACGAAGACGATGACGACTTGTTTCGAGCGTATCCGTCGTCCTCGTCGCCCGTTGTCGTGTCGTCAACCCTGCGCGAACAGCAAGTTCTTCTAATTTTGCAGACACCGTCGCAACAAACATTGTTGGTGAACATTCTATTCAGACTGGCCAGTCAGGTGAACATTGTTGGTGGTGAAGTTTTTATCTCGCACTCTATAGTTCAAAGGGGGGTGAGGAGTAAGAGGAGGAGGAGGAAGAGGAGGAGGAGGAGGAGGAGGAGGACGCTTGTACTCGCGCTCGAACCCGCGCGCGCACGCACGCGCACGCGCACGCGCACGCGCACGCGCACGCCCACCCTTCTTGTAGACAGAAGCTGCTGGAGCCACCTTCCCTCGTCAAAATTGGGTGCTGGAGCCCATGCCGTGGGCTGCTGGAACCACCTCCTTTGCAAAAACGGAGCACTGCCACCCAGTTGCTTTGTAGGCATTCACAGCCGAATTGACGCTCCCTCGTGAATGGTTGGGTGCTGGAGCCCAAGCCGTGGTCTGCTGGATCCCATCTGTCTTGCAGGCAAGAGTTTCGGGAGCGATCTTCCTTTTTATGAAATTGGGCGCTAGAGCCCACACCTAGTTTACAAACCAACGAAGCACCCTCCAGCAAATTTGGAGGGGGAAGGGGACCGGCCAGGGGAGGGGGGGGGGGCAGGCCGAATTGGGCGCTGGAGCCCACACCTAGTTTACAAGCAAACGAAGAGCCCTCCAACAATTTTGGAGGGGGAGGGCACTGGCCCAGGGGAGGGGGGGGGGGGGAGAAGGCCGCCGGGCAGCCAGGGGGCGGCTGGCCCTGTCGATGCAGTCACGCCTCGCTTCCAAACGGGGGCAGTGCGCGCACGCGGGAAGCGCGCGTGGGCGTGCGCGAACGTCGCCGTCTGGTCAGCTGATCGACGACGAAGGAACGACAACGGACGACGGCCGACGAGCGCGTGGGCGTGCGCGCACGTCGTCGTCTGGTCATCCGATCGACGACGAAGGAACGACAACGACGACGGACGGCGGCCGACGACAACCGCGGACGACGACAAAGACGACGACGGAGACGACGACGACGACGACGACGACGACGACGACGACGACGACGACGACGACGACGACGACGACGACGACGACGGAGACGACGACGACGGAGACGACGACGACGACGACGACGACGACGACGACGACGACGACGACGACGACGACGACGACGACGACGGAGACGACGACGACGACGACGACGACGACGACGACGACGACGACGACGACGACGACGACGACGACGACGACGACGACGACGACGACGACGACGACATGTTTCGCACGTATCCGTCGTCGTAGTCTTCGTCGTCGTCGTTCGATGTCGTCGGTCATCAACCCTGTGCGAAAAGCAAGTGTGTCTGTACTCGTTCGACCACCGTCGCAACAACAAGTGCTGGTGAACATTGCATGTATATTGTCACTACCAAAATATTCACCTGACTGTAGCCTGCCGGTTCCCGCCGACTCGACTTCTCCCGACATGGCTACCGATCTGCGCCGATCGGGTCCCTTTCGATCGGCGGTCCGACTCATCGACCCAATTCTGGGCTCTCCTGCTGTTCGCGCTCCCTCCCTGGCCTCCACACGAAAACTGATGGCCCTGCTGGCCCTTGCGCTCTCTCGGTGGCGCTGCCAAAGAGCTACAGTCGGGGCCCTGAAGAAGGAACCCTTTTCGTTGGGGAGGGGCCCCGTGTTCCTTAATTGTTTCGCAGCTTGCCCTGGATTTTGCTCAGGTTCTCGATGCGAAATCGAAGTTCAACTTATGGAGAATAGGGGCCTCGTTCCTTATTTAGGGTTCCTTAGGTCAACGCCTCGACTGTAGCAGGGCGATCGGGAGGCGGCCCTCGCAGAAGGCGCCCCCCGCGCCTCCCAGAGTCCCGCCGCGCCCTGGCGGGACTGCCTCCCTGGACTGCCCCTTTGGCAGGGGCCAGCCCCTTCCGAGGGGCCCTCCTGCACCAGTCGGCGATGCGGCTCGATGAGGAGCCTGATCTTCTCCACGCCGACGTCGCCGATGCAGCCGACGTCGCCAGTGCATCGCCGATGCATCGCGGATGCATCGTCGATGTATCGGCGATGTGGCGAACCCCGTCTACTCGGACCCCCTCTAGGAGGCCTCTATTGTCTGCAGGTTCCTCGGGGGCAGCTCCCCCGGGGCGCCCCGTCGGAGGTGCCACCCGCCGCCCCGGGGCGCGCTGGCCCGCGGGCTCTCCAGTGTGGGCTGGCGCGCCCGCGGCGGGGTGCACTCGCCCCGTGAGGCTCCCCTCGGGGAGCAAACAGTGACATCGGGGCCCTGAAGAAGGAACCCTTTTCGTTGGGGAGGGGCTCCGCGTTCCTGAAGTGGTTCGCAGCTTGCCGCAGGCTTTCCTTATGCTTTCGATAGGGAATCGAAGGTGAACTTCTGGGAAAAAGGGGCCTCGTTCCTTATTTAGGATTCCTTACAGTCGGGACCCTGAAGAAGGAACCCTTTTGGTTGGGAGGGGCTCCTCGTTCCTTAAGTGTTTCGCAGCTTGCCTTAGATTTCCCTTAGGTTTTCGATACGAAATCGAAGTTCAACTTATGGAAACAAGGGGCCTTGTTCCTTATGTTGGGTTCCTTGGGTCAGCGCCCCGACGGTACACCTGGAGAGGCCGGAGCTCCGCGCAGATGTCTCGGAGCGGCGCCGGAGCCTCTCGCCGGCGCCGCCCGAGGCGCGCGGTCCGCGCGCCAGGGAGGGGGTTCCGGCGCCGCGCCGAGATCAAAACGAGGACCCAACTCCACAGGAGAGTTGGGAAACAAAAAAAAAAGAGATGCGGGATACCTCGATCAGGGATGCCGAATTCTCGGCCTGGTCGGTGGCGGATGCTTCTGGGCAGCACGGCGGCGATGCAGCAACATTGTAGCAGCCTTAGAGGCTGGAGGCTGACGCGGCAAGGCGGATACTGGCACTTCTGGCCACGGCATGCATGTTCTGCGCGGACCTCCGAGCTTGTTCATGCTCATGCAATTGTTTCTTCCCCTATCTCCTGTCCGCCGTGCCGCCATTCGCTCCCGGCGCGTCCCGCCTGCTGCCCGGCCGGTGCCTGCACCTGCTTCGGCTCGTGTGCGCCCGCTGACTGGAAAGAGTTCCCCTGTACTCACCGAGCGCGTTCCACTACTCGCAAAGTGCCTTCTCGCAAACGCCCGAAAAGCACGTGTCTGATTCGATGTAATTTCTCGTATCTCCTCTCCAGCGGATCCAGGCCATCTGCGAGTAGGTACTTTGCGAGTAGTGGAACGCGCTCGTCGAATTTCGGGCGTGGAGCGCGCCTTCACTGGTGCGCCGGCGTGTGCTTCGGGCGCCGCTCGCCGTGTGAGGCGGGGGCGGTGTCGGCCGCCGGGCCGGGGCAGGCAGGAGGAGAAAAGCGGGGCGGGGAATGGTCGCGAAGGTCACGGGTCGTCGTGAGAGCCATGGAGCGATGTAAAACGATGTGAAAGGCGGGGTCGGTGTGGGATCCACATCGTCGGTGATGGTTGGCTGAAGCGATTCTGGTAGGAATATCACATCATGTCCCAAGTGTGCCAGACTTCCAGGGTCGTTTTCTCGGTCGGTCAGGCGCTCCTGCCAGGTTGATTGGGCGGCACGGTTGAGCGATACAAGGATGTCAGCAATATCCGCAACCGATCGTTCGCGTAGAGAAGGTGCTGTTGCTCAACTACTCGAGGTTGTTCTTGCCGCACGTGCGCAGGCGCCTGGAGCGCAGGCTCAGGCAGCTGTCGGAGCAGCGGGACGGCCTTCAGCGCGAGGTGCAGGACAGCTCCGCCTTCATTGTCTTCCGCCCTCTCTCCAGGAGGCAGCACACGTTGTTCATGTCTGAGTGTCCGAAAGTTATTTGATTTCTGGGGGTCAAGATCCTTTCATCTCTGATTCTTCTATCCTGGGCCTCTTCCTGGCCACTAGGGGGCCAGGAAGAATTAGAGACGAGCACAATTTGCAAACGAACACGATCAGAAATGAACGACGTGTAGCCACGGACCGGACAACGACATTTCGACACCAGCACCGAGCTTGGCCAGGCCCATCTTGGGGCCCAAGCGTCGGTGGACATTTGCGGCGGTGCGTCAGTTTATATAGTTGACATCGTACGACCTCTCAGGAGGCAGGATGAGTCTTTTAATGTTGAAGATGTCCGGGATTTTCTCTGGTGTTCCAGACCGTTTGTGATTGTGGACACGGGGGTCAGCTGCATAGTAGACCACATTCATTATCCTTATTAACATGATGATAGGTTCTACCCCCCTCCCCCCCGGACTTAAATATTCACTTTTTGGCATTTCAATTTGCATGTGATTCTGACCCAATGTCCATCCGACCTGTGACTGTATACTATCCCAGTCAGGCTGGTATCGCGCCCCCCCCCCCCCGCCATCCTTTGGAAAAATAGTATGCGCGCACACTCGCCTATCAAAAGCCATAAGCTTCCAATAATTTCTTGCCAACAAAAAAACAAGACGAAATGCCCACGCGCGCGTCGTCGCGCGCGCATGCCGAAATCCTTCAAGAAACGCTCGGATTCGAAAGGATTACAACATCGAATGCCTAAGCAACATCAAAAAACCACAAATGGGTTTCGTAACACAGATTTTTTTAATAATGCGCGCGTTCTTGCGATTTCTGAACAAATCATAGGTTTGTCAATAGTTTCAGAAAGTACTCCCAAACGAGTTTCGCGTGCGCATGTCGAAATCGTTCGAACGCCTGTGCTCGTGTGCGCATGCCGAAATCCTTTTGAACAACCTTCGGTTTCGGAAGGATTTCAAAATCGAGTGTCCAACAAGCATACAAACACACAGGGTTTCGCAACACGGAAGTTCAACAACCTCGTGCGCGCGTCTTTGCGAATTCTTCAGAAATACATGCGTTTGGTCAACATGTTCAGAACATGCTACCAAACGGGTTTCGCGCGCGCATGTCGGAATCGTTCGAACGCCCCTGCGCGCTTGCTAGGGTGGCACGATCCGCGTCAAGAAACACCATGCGAGCCACTTTCGCGCGTCTGCCGCGCGCGCATGTCAAATTCTTTCCAAAACCTGGATCACCGACAAAAGGCGCCGTCGTCGCCGTCGGCGTGATCGGCATCGGCGCCGTCACTGGCCGTGCCGTCGTCGTTGTCAGCATCGCCACTAGCATCATCATCGTGTCTACAATTGTCGACGTTGCCATGCAACCGCACCCGCCCAAGCCGCCGACTCGCTCTCAAGTGCTCGCTGGGGTGCGCCGAGCGGTCAGCACCACCGCGGCTGCGTCGGTCGCGCCAAACTGCCTGGCCGCTGCGAGCGCGCGAATGCGCGAGCTGGCGCGGCCGCAGACATGCACCAGCCAGCGCCAAACACTCATCGCATTCGCCGCTGCATAAGGTTTGCAAGCCAAGTTGCGGGTGGGTGGGTGGGACGTCTGCGCGAGCAGTGAAGTGGACAATTCATTGCGAACAGACATTTTTCCCTAAAAAGACATAGGTGGTACCACCCTCCCCCTCGGGGTAAATATTCACCTTGTCGTATTGCAAGTTACTGATGGTTCTGATTCAATGTGGACCACATTGGTTACACTTGTTAACAAAAAATAGGTTCTACCACCCTCCCCCCTAGACTTAAATATTCATTTGTTGGCATTTCAAGTTACATGCGATTCTGACCCAGGCTCCATCGTGCCTGTGACTTTATACCATCCCAGTCAGGCTGGTATCGCCCCCCCCCGCCATCCTCCGCACAAAATAGTACGCGCGCGCATTCGTTATAACATCATAAGTTTTCAATAGTTCCTTGCAACAAGAATGCGACGAAGTGCACACGCGCGCGTCGTCGCGTGCGCATGCCGAAATTATTCGCATTCGGGGGGGGCCCGTATGGGGCCACGAAGCGCTGTACTGGGTGGGGGGGACGCATGCGAACTGCGCCACTGGGACCTTCGGTGGAGCTCCCTATGGGGCCACGAAACGCTGTAGTGGGTGGGGGGGACGCATGCGAACTGCGCCACTGGGACCTCCGGTGGAGCTCCCTATTGGGCCACGAAACGCTGTACTGGGCGGGGGGGACGCATGCGAACTGCGCCGCTGGGACCTTCGGGGGAGCTACCTATGGGGCCACGAACCGCTGCCTGGGTGGGGGGGGACGCATGCGAACTGCGCCACTGAGGCCTTCGGTGGAGCTCCTCCCTATGGGGCCACGAAGCGCAGCCTTGGGTGAGGGAACCGCATGTGGGCTGTGCCACTGGGACCTTCGGTGGAGCTCCCCCCTTATGGGGCCACGAAACGCAGCCCTGGGTGAGGGAACCGCATGCGGGCTGTGCCACTGGGACCTTCGGTGGAGCTCCCTATGGGGCTACGAAGCGCTGCCCTGGGT